TGCAGGAGGATCGTACGTTCTGACCCATCATCCAATATGGCATACGTGTCTAAGGACTTGTTTCCATTACGTAGGGTCACTTCAACTACCTTCAGCAGCACTTTATTGCAATCGCTAGGATGGTCTAGGTAGAAGTTCTGCACTTGCCTCTGGTTGATGTTGCATAGGACCTGCAGATGTTTCCCATTGCATTGGTTGCAGCGTCCCTTCAGATCACACTGGTCTGCAAAGTGGTCTCGTGCACATCGCCAGCAGCGTTTCTGTCCTTTGATCCAACTAGTTCTCTGATCTTCAGTGAGCTGGAGGAAGTCATCACATTTACTGACATGATGTTCATGGGAGTTACAGTAAGCACACACTGGACAGAGCGTGGATGTGATGTTGGGGGGAAACTGACTGGCTCTAGGAGGAGCTATCTGGACTTTAGGGGAGGTCATTTGGGAAGTCTTGCTACCATGGAGTATAGCTGTAGCTCTGAATGGGTGAGAGGGTGGTGGCCTTGGTCGGACAGGCTGAAGGGTTCTCTCCCTTCTGGGCTGGCAGCGAGTTTCCTGTTGCAGCCAGGAGGAGAAATCTAGGAGGTTATAGGAAAGGGGACCTGGTTTGGTCAAACTCATGCTTCTCTTAAACTGACAAAAGTGCTCACTGGGTAGTTTTTCTAGTAGCCGCTCGACATGTGAGCCACAGGTAAGCTCGGAGAGACCTTCACGGCCCATGGACTGGAGGAGACCCACTAAGGCTTGTACTCTAAGGGAAAACTGATCTAGGCCTCTACCATCCCCTAGCCGGATAGCAGGCATCTCCATTATAGCCCGGAGCTCTCTCAGGGCAAGCTGTCTGGGTTGGCCATAACGCTCATCTAGGGCCCGAATAGCTTGAGTGTAGGGATCTTGGGCATAAACATAAGCTAAGGCAAGTCGCTTCGCCTGATCTACCTTTAAGTGATCCAGTAAGATATGATATTTATACTGCTCCGACTCTCTTGGGTCCAACAGGTTGGATAGGGCCATCTTTAACATCATATACTGACTTTCATCCTCTCTATTAAGATCAGGGAATGAGGGACCTTCTACCTTGCTATATGACTGCAATCGGCCAGAAGGGGGAGCTAAATGGCTTGGTGGTGCTGCAGAAATAAGCTGGTGAGGCTGCACATTGCTGGGCTGGTATGCTGGCTGGGCAGAGTGGGCCATAGCTCTAGGCGAAATTTGAGGTGACAACATGTAGGCTGGGAGCAAGGGGTTATGTGAGACTGGGACTTGACAGGTGGCAAGGAACTGACTATGGTCAGAAAGATTCGTGTGCTGCCAGGGCTGAGCTAAGGGCTGAATGGCAGGGGCACGGCTTACAGGAGGTGGATAAGGAAGCTGCTGCCGAGGTGGGGAAGAAAAGGGCTTATAGTCACTTGTGGTAGCCTGGGGTGGTATTGCAGCATCCTGGGCTTGTGATGCTACCAACTGAGGGCCGAGGTTTTCAGGGGATGGTCCTGAAAGAGACCGTGGGTGGCGGCCTTCACCAAGCATACAGCGCTGGATTAGTCTACCTTGATTTCTTACTTCTTCTAGTAACTGCTGTAAGAGCTCAGTTTGAGGGTCAGGAATTGGGGCTACATGAGGGTCATGTGGGTACTCAGGGGCTAGGGCTCTCCCAAAAGAGACAGGTGAGGGAGGCTCTGTTGCTGGCTCTTCCTCTTCCTCACTGGGTAGTTGAGGTGGCTCTTCATCCTCCTCAGACTCATGCTGTGGTTGATACTGAGGTCCAACACCGAAGATGTCTGCAGAGTGAAGCGGTGGTGGCTCTGGTGCTTCAGCAGGATGCCGTGGCTGCTGACCATATTCCATGACGTAGTCATCATAGCGTACAGGACGCTGGGCTTGGCGGTGAGGACGCTGAAGTAACGAAGGCAAGGAGTGACTGGACATCTCTACTGGTCGTCAATGGCTCCGGCTCGAAGGACCATGAAAAGGAGGTTTGAGAGGGATGTGCAGGTAGCTGGCTTGAGACCAGTGGAGGTATCGGTAAGAACAGTCTAGTCCAGTCACTTTAATTCCACAATGCCTTTCTTTATTAGGTATGTTTGTGTAATTTGTGGTTTATAGTTCAATAACGCACACAGAGCAGGAGACAAGGCATTTCCAGAAGCAACACACAAAGGATTCCTCCATGTGGCAGGAACAAAGAGAAAGAGCTGTGTACAGGTGCTGTCTAATAAAGTCTGTGGCTGATTGGAGCTAATTAGTTGAAGGTGTGGTGCACTGCATGGGGAACTGAGTGGCAAAGAAAAATGGGCGTGGCAACTGCAGGACAGAGAGGAAAACTTCCAAACAGTGTGTGTGACTGACTGACTGCGTGTCACCGCCTGTCGGCCTAGTTAGAATATTGAATTCTCTTTATAGCGCTTGAACAAATACACATAGCTACAATTACTTCAAAATATTAATCTTGGCAAGTATTTACGTAAAACAATCAGTAATAACAGATTGGGACGTTTGTCATTACTGTAGTAGGTCTTAAAGTGACAGTAACCTAATTTACCTGCTGTTGTCATTGTTGTTAATGTTATTCAAGCAACAACAATAGGCTACAGCACAATTTAAAAAAAAGAATTTGATTAGACCAAATAAACAAGCTTTATGCAATTTGTTTGTCATTTGTGTCATGTATGACTATTGTGCATCTGACATAATACTATTATGGTAAATGTGATGTCCTAATTATAAAATATAAAAATCGCAAATTTTTTCACAAATTTCTGGAAATTACCACCACAAAATCAGTCATTTTGATCGCAAAAATCACACAAAAAAATCGTGAAATCCTGGAGGGACTGATTTATATAGCGCTTTCATATGTACTACTGTACACCCTTTGTGTACTACTGTACACAAAGCGCTTTACAATCATATCAGGGGTTCTCTCCTCAACCAGCACCAGTGTGCGCTTTACAATCATATCAGGGGTTCTCTCCTCAACCAGCACCAGTGTGCAGCATCCACTTGGATGATGCGACGGCAGCCACAGTACAACGGCGCCAGTGCGCTCACCACACACCAGCTATAGTTGGAGAGGAGAGAGAGTGATAGAGCCAATTCAGTGGATGGGGATTATTAGGAGGCCATGATTGGCAGGGGCCAATGGGTGGAATGTGGCCAGGACACCGGGGTTACACCCCTACTTTTTACGAGAAGTGCCATGGAATTTTTAATGACCACAGAGAGTCAGGGCCTCGGTTTAACGTCTCATCCGAAGGACGGTGCTCTTTGACAGTATAGTGTCCCCGTCACTATACTGGGGCGTTAGGACCCACACAGACCACAGGGTGAGCACCCCCTGCTGGCCTCACTAACACCTCTTCCAGCAGCAACCTGGTTTTCTCAGGAGGTCTCCCATCCAGGTACTGACCAGGCTCAACCCTGCTTAGCTTCAGTGGGCAACCAGTCTTGGGCTACAGGGTGATATGGCTGCTGGCAATGTAATTATGACCGGTTCAAAATTAGTCGGGCCAATCAAATTGCCAGGGCGGGCTTTATACGATGATGGACAGATGATCTGCGGTTACGTAATCATCACGTTATCAAAGAGCGCTTGGGTTGAACTGGTTTCCCTCAAAGGTGACTGCAGCTGGAGAATTGAGATGTATAGATTCCGCTATCGCGTCTGTTGTAAAAGAAATCGACAGCGCATTCATTTTAAAAGACGAACAGAGAACTGCAATCAAGGCATTTGTCGATTGGAAAGATGTGTTTGCCGTCCTTACTACGGGATTCGGCAAACGTTTATTTTATCAGCTGGCTCCGATGGTCGCTAAGAAGATGGGACACAATGAAAACCCTGCAGTCGTTGTGGTTTCTCCTTTATCCAACACTCATTATTTTACTACTTCTTCCAGTGTGCGTGCAGTTGAGTTCTGTTGAAACTATGCAACTATGTAGCTGACTTACTGCGTTGCTCTGATTGGTTGTAGGTCTATCCAATTGAGTGCAGAGTTTTTTTTTTTTTTCTGGTTCGGTTAAGACACGCCTCATAATCAAAGCCCTATGGAGCAGTATCAGACTCACATTCTGACTAGAATATGAGTATGACGAAGTCAGGCTAATTCTGAATATGAATGTGACCAAACACCCCCTCTGGAAAGGCAAGGCCTTGCACCGTAACATGACTGGGGAGGAGGTTCAGGAGACGGGCAAAGGGCTGGTGAAGGTGAATATAACACGGATAACATTACATATTTTTTATCAGGTTAAACTTTGATTATTAGTCACTCAAACCTTTATCTAAACCTCTCACGTCTCATTCATATCCGCCATGTTTTGTAGTTTTTATAACACATTTTACTCGTGTTTGTAGTTCTGAACTGAATCCTCCTCCTAAGCGCAATGGGTTGTGGGCAATATTAGCCTTTAGAGTGTGCATGGATCCACACTTCGAAAATCTACCGGAAATAGTAGACCATCTGGGGACTTTTGACATACTCTTTTCAACATACTATGCTTTGGGATTGGGACGCACTTATTCTGATCTCGCAAACTATTTAGGAAGGATAGTATGGACATTGGTACAAGGGTAAGAGTCCATGAAAATGAAACTAAGACAAACTAAACTGAATGTGAATGTGACAGACAATTAACAAAACTGTTTTTGTGGCATATTTTTATAGGTTTGAATTTCAATTTGGTACATTCACATTTTTAACATGACAATTAACAAAATGTCATTGGTTTGTGGCATATTTTGTAGATTCGTATTTTTAAGTAGATTTTTTTTTTAAACCTCTGCTTTTCCCTGCTTGACCTTTGGCCTATTTTGTATGATCTGCATTTATTTATTTTATCTGAATATTTACAGATTTTTTCCCACCCTAAAATCTGCTGTTTAAAAAAGTAGTTCTATAAAAACACTTTTGTTAAACAAAACTAAAGTGAAAAAACCCCAAAACAAACTATAAAATACAATTTTCGTTGTTTTTCTAGTTCTATGATTATTACTTTTCCCTCTTTTAGGTGTGTGGACATTCTGGAACTGTCCGAACTGCGTGATCTCCTGAAGTTCCATGACCACACCCTTCGCCTCTACTCAGCCCTTTCAGCTCATGGAAACACACATGTAAGCCACGCCCTCTGCAGCCATGTGGACCAATCACAACTCTTGTTCGCCTTGCAGTGCTCTAGAATGCCAGGTCACCTGCGGATAAGTTACTACAACCTCCTCATCAACACCCACCTCGCTGCCCATGCCAGTGCCAGGCAGGCAATGAACCATGAATACATTGTGCCCATAACGGATGCCACGCAGTCTATTACGCTTTTCAGAAATGACAGGAAAGTGCAAAGATTCCCAGGAAGTGACTTCAGCACTTCCCTGCGTCCGAGAATGCGCTTCACATCACCTTGCTTCATTAGAGCTTATAAAATAGATGTGATGGAAGGAGGTAACGATGGGGCTTTGTGGAGTAATTTGCGCCAAGACAGCCCAGAGTTCCCATTGGATGTATTAAAGGCTGTTGTCATTGCAATGCTGAAGGAGGCAGTGACAGCAGTTGGGCAGGGTGTGAGGGATCCTGCAGGGGGCAGCATAGAGCTCCTGCTGGTTCCTTTGCTCGGTTTACTTCACACACTCCTGATGATGGGTGTGTATCAGGGGACAGATCTGGAGGCCGTGTTTAGTCTCATCCTGCCAGTCAGATACATGAGAGGAACATGTAAAACAGAGAAGATGGATGAACTTGAAGAGAGTGATGGAGAAAGACAGGAAATAGAGGGTAGAGATTGGGAGAATAATGTCTCTCGGCAAAGTCTTCTTCAGATGAAGCTTCCAGAAGCTGTCAAATTACAGGTTGGCACAAATCATTTAAAGAGGTCATTCACCCAAAAATGACATTTTTGTCATTATCAGATGAGCATAAGAAGGCTCTTATGCTCATTGCTCACCAAGGCTACATTTATTTGATCAAAAATACAGTAAAACCTTGAATATTGTGAAATATTATAATAAATTTAAAGGAAACCAGATTTTGCTGTTTGATATTTTTGTTGAAACATGGTGCATTTTTTTTATAGGATTCTCTGATCAACAAAGTTCAAATAAAGGAATAAGCCCAGCGAAGCCATGTTTTACAGTGAATTTAGAACAGCTAAGGGGTGTTGTTAGGCACGACGCGGAGCGGAGTAGAACAGCTAACCCCCGTAGCTGTTCTAAATTCACTGTAAAACACGGCTTCAAGGGGCTTATTGCTTTTATAAAACGGTTATTCCATAAAAATATTCATTTTAATATTTCTTTTATTCATAAAATAAACACCAGCAAGTGAAAATATAACGTTATAACACATTTATTCCTCCGCCAAGCAATGTAGTTCCAAAGAGGTTGTCAAGCAACACATGCCGCAACAAAGAATCACAAACGGCAGTTGCGCAGTAATACCATTAATATAATGCGGTCACAAGTGTAGTAGGTTGAGTAATTTACAATGGCTTCGAACGCAGCTCAACCAATCAGAATCAAGGACCGGAACTATCCGTTTTATAAAGAACCAATTTAATGTGTCCTTGCTGAATAAAAGTATTAATTTATTTTCTTCTTTTTTTTCTTTTTACTTACCTTAAACTTTTGAAATGTATGTCATGCTTTCCACAGCAAAAACTGTTTTGAACATTGATAATAATAAGAAATATACTTCTTGAGCACCAAATCAGCATATTAGAATGATTTCTGAAGGATCATGTGACACTGAAGACTGGAATAATGCTGCTCAAAATTCAGCTTTGCCAACACAGGAATAAATTACATTTTAAAATATATTCAAATAGAAAGGAATTTAAATTGTAATGATATTTCACAATATTAAAATTTTTACTGTATTTTTTTATCAAATAAATGAAGCCTTGGCCAGTATCAGAGACTTCTTTCAAAAACATTTGAAAAAATCCACAATTTTGGAATAAAGTTATATATTCGTTGTCTTTCTCATCATCAGGTGTGCCACCTTCTGAAGTACTTGTGTGACTGCCAGGTGCGTCACAGAGTAGAAGCTGTGATGTCATTCTCAGGTGACTTTGTTGGTCACCTCCAAGACAACCAGCGCTTCCGGTACAATGAAGTTATGGATGCGCTCAACATGTCTGCTGCCCTCACTGCGCGCAAAACTAAAGAGTTCCGTTCCCCCCCTCAGGAACAGGTCAGAGGTCATAGGATAACTGGATTAGACTCTATACTTCTGTCATCATCTACTCACATTCTTGTCATTCCAAACCTGTATGACTTACTTTATAAAATGAACGTTTTTTTTTTTAGGATATTTTATTTTGTGTTGCGCAGAAGAAAGTCGTACAGGCTTGGAACGTCATAAGGTTGAGTTACTTTAGTTAGTTTTATTTTTGTATGAATTATGCTTTTAAAGTCATTTTGTAATTGTAAGTAGTGACAGATCTTTTCTTTTGCATCTGAGTGAAATGGATTTTTGACATGGTTCTATCCATTAGTTGTTTATTGAATGGAGGCAGATCTAAAGGCAAGCTTTCAGTCAGTTGCAGCTGTTTTTTTTCTCCGTTCAGATGAACATGATGTTGAGCTTCCGCGAGGAGTGTCAGGATTGTCCGTGCCCAGAGGAGATCCAAGATTTGATGTGGGAATTCCATCAGGATCTAATGACCCACTGTGGTAGGCATCCAATAAGGACAACCAATGCCATAATTGTATTGCCATCAACTGGCATCATGACCTCTCATACTTGAAGCATTTATTCCCATGTCGTCTTTTTCTTTGTTTAACTTAGGAATTAAGATAGACAGTGATTCAGAGAATGAGAATGAGGATGACGTGTCAATCAGGAATCACCTCCAAGGCCTAGTGGATAAAATAATTCATTTAAAGAGGAGAATGTCTGGCCTGCCTGAGGAGATTGTGAACAAACCTGGTCAGAAACACTAGCAGTCTCTTTCGTTATGATTTGTGTTAATATAGCCTCTTGATTCTATTACTTGTAAAACTGTACAGGTACAGTGATTCTAAGCTTGAACAGACCTCTCTCGTTCTAGTCTCTCTGCAGCAGCTGATATCAGAGACCATGATGCACTGGGCCCAAGAGGGGACGATTGAAGACCCCGATCTGGTGCGTGCTGTTTTCAGCCTGCTGCTACAACAGTATGCTGGGCTGGATGGCCAGATGTCTGCTCCACTACAGAAGGCTTACTGTATCAGCCAGGCATCTGTGGAAGACGCTCTTAACCTACAGTGGGCTCTAGCATGCATTCGTTCATTGCTCACGGCCAGGATGGACAAAGAAGAAGAGGAACTTATGATTAGAGGACTGGGGTGAGAGACGATAGCTGGGTTATTTTTTTTATAAATAGTAGGCAGAACACTAGGCATTATGCAGCGCCAAATGTTTCACTCTATAATTGTCACTTGACCTTTTCAAATTGCATGAGAGTTGCAACCTTCTTCAAAATTATTATAAAACCCAAAGGAAAGAGAAATGTATAAGTTGACCGTTTTAACTATGGCAATATAATATGTAATTTAAAAGACATTAACATACTCTGAAAGACTGAAATAATGCTTTGTCATCATCACAGGAATAAATTACATTTTAAAATGCATTAACTGAAAACATTCATTTTAAATTGTAATAACTATATCACAATATTACTGTTTTAGCAGACCTATTTTTTTTTAAAAACATTAAAGAAATCTTACCAACCCCAAACTTTTGAACGGTAGGGCATTTTCATGATTAAGCACAAATACATAATTAATATTATTTGTTAGCATTTCTAATCAGGCACTAAACTTGATACCCATGAAACATCTCAGCCAACAAAATTCATTTTAACACATCCTATCATGCAGCTTTCACCCCCCCCCCCCCTTTTTTTTCTATGGACTGCTATGTCCAAGCCAGTTTATCCTTTATTTGAGACCTGAGTTTTCTCTTGTGTAGTGACATCATGAACAATAAAGTTTTCTACCAGCATCCTAATCTGATGAGAGCTCTGGGGATGCATGAGACCGTCATGGAAGTTATGGTGAACGTACTTGGTGCTAGAGAATCCAAGGTAATCGTACTAACAATTACTTTCAGTGATTATCATCTTATGTGTTCATTATTGTTCAGTAGTCAGATGTCAGTTGCATAATTGAACCTAATCATTAGATTAAGTTGAATGTTTTACTTTATTCACTCCAGTGAGGTCCTCTGATAACTCTGATTCTCTTGCCTCATTAAGGAAATCATGTTCCCTAAGATGGTTGCACACTGCTGTCGTTTCCTGTGTTATTTCTGTCGAATCAGTCGCCATAACCAGAAAGCCATGTTTGATCATCTCAGCTACCTGCTGGACAACAGCAATGTAGGACTTGGTATGTTCATACTGATCTGGTTTAACCCATAAATAACCTTCAACTTTAAACTTTTTACGGAAGTAGACAAAGTAAATGTGATGTTTTTTTTCTGATCAGCGTCTCCTTCAATGAGAGGATCGACTCCTCTGGATGTGGCGGCCGCTTCTGTCATGGACAACAACGAGCTGGCACTTGCTCTCACAGAGGCGGATCTGGAGAAAGTAAGTCTCACTGACGGATTGCTTTTTCTCTCTTCTACATCCCTTCTGACTTTTGGTGATATTGAACTGGTCTGGTCTTTGTGAATGTGTTCGTACAGGTTGTGCAGTATTTGGGAGGTTGTGGTTTGTGTAGTTGTGCTCTGCTAGTCTCCAAAGGATACCCTGATATTGGATGGAATCCTGTAGAGGGAGAACGTTACCTGGACTTCCTGCGCTTTGCAGTATTTTGCAATGGTAATGATTAGTTTTAATCTGGAATCCTGACCTGGTGAAACCTAATTGAATGCCTCCAGTTGGTTTTGATTACTTGTTCTCCTCATACAGGTGAGAGTGTTGAGGAGAACGCCTATGTGGTGGTGAGGCTTCTGATTCGCCGACCTGAGTGTTTTGGTCCCGCTCTTCGAGGGGAGGGGGGAAATGGTCTTCTAGCAACCATGGAGGAAGCCATCAGAATTTCCCACCAGCAGGATGGAATCAGTGCACACAGTTCCAACCGGACACTGTGAGTGTTGTGTTTCAGTTTTTTTTCTGTCTTTGTTTTTCTCATTCTCGCTGATAGCCGTGTCTCATTCTGACCTGCACTCTTAGTAACACGCTTGATGATGATGAAGAAGATGATGTCATCCACATGGGACACGCCATAATGACCTTCTACTCTGCTCTGATTGATCTGTTGGGTCGCTGCGCCCCTGAAACACATGTAAGTGTTTCGGGAAACCCACTGGGGAAAGCTAGATAAGAGCCTCATGATGTGTTTGAAGGAATGAGTTGGAAATGGCTAATTGGTTTTATCTACTTTTTAAGGCAGTTTCCATTAAAGCTTTGAAAGGTTCTTCAAGGTTTGCTAATGGTTGTCTCTGTTGTGTGCGTATGTGGCCTTGCAGCTCATAGAAGCGGGGAAAGGTGAGGCCATCCGATTCAGGGCAATCTTGAGGTCTCTCGTTCCCAGAGAGGATCTGGAGGGCATCATAAATATTCCTTTTAGTTTACCAATTATAAACACAGGTGCGTGTGGGTGTGTTGGTGTTTGTTGACTTGCAAACTTAAGTAAAATATACATTCTTGATGTAAAATCATTCTTTTCAAGACTGTTGATTTATCTTTCTAAATCTATTTGATTGTTAAAAACTGGGGTCAGTGTAATGAGAGAGCCTGAGCTCAGTTTTTAAATAAACTAAGCATATTTAGGTTGGAGTTGCTGGCAAATTATGTAGTTCGTTATTTGAAGTCTAAAAGTGATTAATTGGTGGTGGAAAATATTTTGTGCTTGTTATACTCAGATGATGTAGTGATCGAGCCAGACATGTCTCGGATCTTTTGTCCGGATCACAAAGCAGCCATGGTGCTGTTTTTGGACCGAGTCTACGGAGTTCAGGACCAGCAGTTCTTGCTACATTTACTGGAGTATGGTTTCCTGCCGGACCTGCAAGCGGCTGTTAACATGGATAATGTAATTTGAATTTGAATATTGTCATTGTTGTTTTAAACCCATATTACCTCTTTTTTCAGTGTAATACAAAATTAGTTTAACTTGAATGTGGTTTCCATGTGAAATTTCCATTTAATGCAAATGAGTGGTAATAGAGCACCATGAATGGAGTCCATTCAGTTCATGTACCGTATTTAAGTCTTTTAAAGTCAAACAATAGGCTTTTTTGTGAGGAACAAACCTGATATTGAATGCGTTTATTTACTGAAAATCTTAAATTTGGGAGTTGACTCCCCCAATTAAGACTTGAACCCTGCAATGTACGCCAAAATAAAGGTTAAGGGGGTTGTGGTGGCAAACAATTTTACATCTTTGAATAAGAGACAAACATGTACCAATTGTTTTTAAAGATTATTTATTCCCTTGCAAGGAAAGGTCAACGTTCATACAGTCATACAGAGTGGCTGCAGAGTGTGACAAAGAAGGGAGGGCATCCTTCCTCCTTTATAATTGACTCCCTCTATGTCATCATGAACCACTAACACATTGTTGCATCCTACTACCCTTGAGTAAAGGCCCTTTGTCTCAGTCATACATTAGTCACACATTTCTTTTTGTCCAGTCATGTATACAAGGTCATACACATACTTTGTTCTATCAATGTATCAGAATCATGGGACTCCACGTGCGATCCTAGTGCATTTTACCTTAACACCATGTTTCTAAGATTCTATGAATATAAGAAAATGCAAACATATAGAACATATTAAATTCTTCCACAGGGTCTTAAAGGCTTGCAGTCTTAATTCTACATATTCCAGCAGCTCTGTCTGTTCTACATGTTTCAACAGCTCTGCCTGAATGCAGCAGAAAAAGAAAATATAATTTAAAGTTCAACCACCCCTAAAACAGGCCATACCATTGGCGTGTGGGTCTGGTAATTACAAAACTGAAGACATTGACAATACACAGAACTCAACATACATAGGCATGAAACCATTAGTTGAAATTGAAGTCTCGTAATTTAAGTAACATTGTGATCCATGAATACAATTGCAACATAGTAATTGATGAAATTCACCCCAAGTGTTGTTGTGTATATATATATATACACTGCCGTTCAAAATATTTGAATGAAGTTACCCAGGCTGCATTTATTGAATCAAAAATGCAGTAAAACACTAATATTGTGAATTTAAAATAAATTTAATTTAATTTAAAATGTAAAAAAAAAAAAACTATTTTTATAAAAAACTATTTATATTTTTAAATATAACTATTTTTAAAAAAACTATTATATATATATTTAAATGTAATTTATAATTTGTTGAATTTTTAGCAGTCTTCACTGTCACATGATCCTTCAGAAATCATTCTAATATGCTGATTTAATGCTAAAGAAACATTTTTATTATAATCAATGTTAAAAACAGCTGTGCTGCTTAATTTTTTTTGTGGAAACCGTGATGCACTTTGCTTCAGGACTCTTGATGAACAGAAAGTTCAAAAGAACACCGTTTGTTAGAAATATAAATACATTTTTGGTAACAATGTAAAAGTCTTCACCGTCTCTTTTGATCAATTTAATACATTCTTGATGAATAAAAAAATTATTTTGTTTCATTTATATATATATATATATATATATATATATATATATATATATCTTTCTCTGCAGACGGGGTTAGGTGGAACAGACATGGCCCTGGCCCTCAATCGATACATATGTGTGGCCATGCTGCCACTGCTGAGTAAGTATTCCTCTCTCCTGTGTGACTCTTCATCTCTATGGACCAGGCTGGTGGATGGGCTTCTGGAGGGTGTCTACAGCCTCTCTAAAGCCTGCGGACTGACCAAGGCCCAGAGAGATGCCATACAGGACTGTCTGCTGGCAGTGTGTGGGTGAGGATGTTAGACATTGTTTCTTTTTGAGTTGATCTTATTATTTAGTAAAAGTCATTAATACGATTTACACAATTACAAGAGTGACTGTTTTAAGGATTTCTGCAAATAATAGGCCATTACATGTGGTCACTGCATCTTTCTCTTCCTGTTCTTGCTCTTGTAGGACTGACTTTAAGATCTGTCATTTACTGTAAAAGCAATTTTATATCGGATGGGTTTGTATATTTATAATCCATTCTTATTTTTTTAACTGCATGTGTGCAACTTCATTCCCACAGAAAACTGAATCCCTCCATGCTGCAATTTCTGCTGCGTAATCTTGTGTATGACGTCCCTCAACTGTCAGAAAACTCCAAGATGCCACTTAAGGTCTAAAGAGAAAACATAAAAAAACAAAGCATTCAATCAAAAAATATTTAAAGATAAATCAGGTATTCATAATTCTACCTATGACTGTGGTCACTTCCTCTCCCAGCTGTTGACCAATCATTATGAGCAGAGCAGGAAGTACTACTGTCTGAATGATGGATGGGGTGGCTTTGGCTCCGCCTCAGAGGAAGAACTTCGTCTGACCAGGAGGCTGTTTTGGGGTATATTCAGTGCTCTTGCCAAAAAAGTGAGAAAAGACAGAAAACACTCTTTCATTACACTCCGTTTATATTACAAATATGCCACGAACCATGTGAGCATACAGTTAATTGCTCCTAAGTAGTGTCTTGTGGATAGAATTTCATTTGAATTTTACAGTTAAAATGTTCATTTTTTCAATCTTTTCCACAGTGTTACGATGCAGACCTGTTCAAACTGGCCCTCGGTTGTCTCAGTGCAGTTGCTGGGGCGATTCCTCCCAACCACCTTGACCCGAGCTGCACCGGCGGACAAGAGAGACATTTAGCGATGGATTCAGAGAGACGTTTTTTTCCTCGACCCCTGGACACCTCAAAGTAAGACTTCTATTGACTTAAAAGGGCCATGACCCATGCCTAACCAGGGCACATAAACACGCTTGAGCTTGATCTAATTGACCATGAGCACTGATTTTAGAAGTTCACTTTATCTATTTCTGAAAAGTGTATTGCGTTTATTTGATATGTGATGAATAATAATCTAGTTTTTTCATGCATTTATAGTGTGACAATCCCAGAGAGGCTCGAGTTTGTGGTGAACAAATACGCTGAACATACACATGAGAAATGGTCAATGGACAAGGTAATAAGTTTCTTTACTTATTACAGGAATCTACTTGATGATAATAGCCATTAATATAGTGAAAACTTTGGTAAATCTGTAGTTTTAAAGCCATTTGTGTTTGATGGTTCTTTTCCAGTTTGGTAACGGTTGGGTTCATGGAGAACAGCTTTCTGAGAGTGCTAAAGTTCATCCACTCCTAAAACCTTACAGAGCTCTATCTGAGAAGGTAGTTCACCCTCCCTCATACAATGCATGCACACACATTACAAACAACAACACCATATATTCAGTATTTTTCAAATACATTTAAACAGGCAACATGCAGTTTATTTTTCTCACATTGAGGTTGCTCTGTATTTTAGGATAAAGAAGGTTATCGAGGGGTCATCAAAGAGACTGTGAAATGCATGCTGTTCTTGGGCTGGACTATTGAGAGGACCAATGAGGGGGAGTCACAAGGCTTTCACAACCCAGCTAGGAGGATCTCGCAGTCTGGCAAGGTAATGGACAGTGTTGGGAATAGTTGATTAAATGAATTAGCCTCAGGCTGAAGGAAATGCAAATTCACACCTGTACACGAGATCAAACAAACCTTTCAGCTGTGCTACTATTCTGGATTACAGAAGAATAGGACTCAGGAGAAGAAAGTTCATATGTGATGTATAACTAAGGTCATTTTTGCTTATTAGTATGGTTGAAATGGATCATCAAATATCAGCAGAAAAGACATTGGTTAATAAAGTGAGATTAAATACATAAAGTATATATTATTATTTAACATTTAATTATTGCAGGTTCACATAATATTCAGCGTTTGCATTTCACTTTCACTTTTGAAGTCTAGAACTACAATAACCATCATGTTTACACAGCGCACACAACGCCTTTGCACTTACTCGTGATTTCTCTCAACATGGCCACAGGAGCGGTGTCAGCCAATAAATGGGAAAACAAAGTAGCATGCGTTACTTACTTGAAAAAAGTAATGCAGATATTTTGTTGTAAATTTAAAAGTAATGTGTTACTTTACTAGATACATGAAAAAAGTAATCTGATTACTTAACTCGTTGTAATGCACTACCCCCAACACTGGTAATGGACTCCATCATAGAGGATAGCAAAGCTCTGATAAAGAGTGTGTGGTAGGGATGTGACGGTGAGGGTGGTGAGCTCACGCTGAATTGAGCTGACACGTTTAGTTTTTAATTGTAGTGTCTGTTCTTTAACTAAATTCTAAATGATTTGTATTACTATAAAAAATAAAAACGGTGTAAGCAATGGAACCGGTGTTGCGGCTGAACACCGTGTAACACCGGTAACACAGACTATCGCTCCAAGCCTATTGTGTGGTTTTGTGCTTTATCTGTACTTTTCTATCCATTTTTCCTTAAATTTTCAAGTTTTAGTTTTTTTAAATAAGATATTTTGTCATTGCACCCATAAACAAACCGGAGTATATATATATATATATTTAATAAAAAAAATCATTTGAAGAAGATATGATGAAATATGTGCATCTTAATAGTGCTGGTCCATGTTTGGAGCACTAGAAAAAATTAAATATGTTAATAAAAAGCTTAAATAAGCTTATAAAATCCTTCCAATACAAGGATTTCTGTATTTTTGGACCTAAAAAAAAGTATGACCCATGTGAATTGTGTAAATCACAGCAGTGCCATCTGCGGGACACCCTTAGCATGTTAGCCAGGGTTTAGTGCGCCAAATACAAGTAAAATCTGTGTTGAAACTGTTATTCGCCAGATTGTTTTAGCATTTCAGTAGCACACTTCAGTATTTTAGCATGTTTTAGCATTTCAGTAGCACACTATTGTGCGTTTTCCCTCCCACGACCACCATTCATCAAGGCGAATTCTTTGTGCATTGAACTGACAGCTATTTCGTATTACACACTGGGATTCAGTGATTGGGATTCAGAATAGTGTGTGCTCGCCAAGACTGGATTAACAGCTCTTAGGCTTTTAGAAGACATTGCTTATTCAGAGAACATTGGATGCATTCAAAATAGACTCTGCTTGGGTTTGACAAATGCTAATAATCAAACCAGATAAATGCACTGTGTTTCTATGAAGAACATAAGTTGTGTTTTGTCTTTTAATAGCTGTCTTTTGAAGGAGCCTCCACATTCAGTCCAAAGCCTGTGGACACGAGCAGTGTGACTCTGACCTGGGATCAGTATGTAAGCAGCCTCAATGAATTCCACACAATATAAATCAGCTTTTATTTGAATAACTTGTATAGTTAAAATAGCTTTTAGAATACATTTTTTTAGAAGTCATTTTAGAAATTGCCTCTTATATATATACTGCCAGCCGGCTTTGTACATTAACAGGATTAAAAATAACTGCACTTTCAATCTGGTGTTGAAGGCTATGGCAGAGCGGTTGGCTGAGAATTATCATCACATCTGGGCAGCCAGGAAACGGCAGGAACTGGAGAGTAAAGGTGTGTGTTACAGATGGGCTGCTGTGAGAGATGATACAGTAAATTAAATTAGGGTTTCTGCAGCCACCTGCATCTTACAGAGAAAAAAGACACTGTGAAATAGCAATGCTGAGGTGAAAAGGTGTGAATGTACACTGTACAGGTATATATACACTACTGTCTTTTTAAGAAATGAATACTTTTATTCAGCACGGATGCATTTAATTGACAAATACATTTATAATGTTACAAAATATTTCTTTTTGAAATAAATGCTGTACTTTGCTGAACTTTCTATTAATCCTAAAAAAAATATGTATTATGGTTTCACAAAAATATTAAGCAGCACAACTGTTTTTAATAATAATAAGAAGAAATGTTTCTTTAGCATCAAATCAGCATATTAGAATGATTTTTGAAGGATCATGTGACAGTGAAGACTGGAGTAATGATGCTGAAGATTCACAAAATTACTGTTTTCACTGTATTTTGATCAAATAAATATAGCCTTGGTGAACATTAGAGACTCCCAAAAACATTAAAATAGATAAATAGATATTTAATGTATTTTTAATGCAATTCTTAACCTTTGATATCGCTTTTTGTACTCATGGTCTTCAATATTTTATCTACTTTTCACTAAGTAAATAATAATTTAGAGTGAGCTAGTTGCAAAATAATCACCAGCGGCACCCTAAAAGAGTTTATTTAGCTACACTGACCAGTTGATTGTTGACACTATCCTGCTTATTAAAGAATATTAAATATAAAACAATTAAACTATATTACAGAGTTTTACACATTAAATAAATAAATGCACATTAAACACTGCTTTGTTATGTAAGAAGAAAGAGACAATGGAATAATATGGAGGCGTGAAACTAGTAGAGTGTGTGTTTAAATAAACTGGTTAGCAGTCAATATACACAAATATTTGTTCTAGAACGACCAATCATAGTCATATATTTTAGACAGCTGTGCATAGATGGGCATAAATACTGTGTGAAAAAATGTATTTAAATAGAAATACAGTATTTTGAAAATACACAAAATACATGTGAAATTGGCCATCCAGTGCAGGTATTGGTCACAGTGAATAAAGAAACTACATAGGCCAATTGCTGGCCATTACAAATAAACTTGTGCAAAATAGCAGCCATTTCTATACTTATTTCTGACCAGGTTACAATGTAGTCGATTACTTACATTATTAAAAGCGCTATATAAAAGAGGATGACTTGTGGTGAACACTATTAAAAAATTCATACTGTATGTAAAACTGTGGGAACCTTTTCTGCTATCTAGCAAAGAATATGACCCAAAATCTTAATTTTACTTCACAGTAACAATATATATCATGGTTTCACAATTCTCAATATCAGTTTTGATACAACAACAAAAACTGAATTTCAAACTCTGTTGAGGCTTTTTTTTTTTTTTTTTTTGGTAGTCCAATGCTTTTTAAGTAGGGGTGTAACGATACCCTCATGTCACGATTCGATACATATCACGATACTGAACTCAAGATACGATATTATTGAGATACTCCAAGACATATGATAAAAGTTAACAAAAAATGTACTGTTGATTAAAATGCTAAATTTGATATTACATTGTGTGTATAAATGAATAGGCTTGGACTTGGTGCTGGAACCCCAAAGCACAGGACAATAGTGACACGAGAATAAACATATTCATGATTCTGAAGCTGAAAATACAGAATTATTTAAGACGAATATGCTTGCACTCTTTCACTGACTAGATATATTTAAAATAATGTAGGCCACATACTTTACTTTACTGTTAACATCAGACATTTGGCATTATCAGGACCCACAAATATACTTCCCCATTGCACTATTACAATTGTTACACCCTATTTTTAAGTATAGTAATTTTAAATTTATTTGTTTCTATAAGTTCATTAAAATTATAAAGTTTATCTAAAATATTAAATTAGAATTAATTTGACACTATTTACCCAAAGTTTTTAATTTTTTTTTATGAACAATAAAACTAAAAGCTGAAGATTGTTGTGGTGTATCATGCATCAGTGCTTCTTTTCCCACTCCAACGTTCCAATAATTCCTAAATTGCCCACTAAAAGCTGCACGGATAGATTTGCTTACCCCAAAATAGGCCCATAGAAAAAGTTTAATCGATTCACACTTTATATCATCTCTATGATATGTAGTGTCATATCACCTGGCCCTAATATGCAGTAATGCTTTAAACACATTTGACAAGCTAGTTAATAAAAATCAACAACCGATCAAGACTGATTGGCTAATGCTATTTTCCCACTTGTCTGTGCTCTTTTATTCTTTCATGTTAACTGAAGGCAAATCTGAATAACTTTATTTATTCAGGCCTCTAAATTTAACTTTAATCAACAAGTAGAATTGATCATTACATCCTCACCTTATTCCAGGAAAATCGCTGATCCAATGCTGAGTTGTACTGTAGCTCACATGCATGAGTGTTGGGGTTGGGAGGAGCTAGTTGATTCAACATCTAAACTAGTTGATGCATGAAACCAGTACCCTGATAAAGAGGTTGACTGGCAAAAAGTATTTGATGTATTTTGACAATACAAAAATACTCATCTTAAATGTATTTAAATACAAATTACATTTGATTTCCCCAAAGTCTTCAAAATACAAAATAGTATTTTGTATTTCAGATACATATTTTAAATACATGTATCTGAAATATTGCCCATCCCTGCAGCTGTGTAATAATATGCACTAATTACTAAAGCAGTGCCCTGGACAAGCTACGTGTAGGAATCAATTTAATAACTGTCAGTAGTTTAATTAATTAAAATGTATTATATTTATATAACTCTTAACAATGGCAATTGTCTCAAAGCCAAATTGGCAGGACTATAATCATTTGTGGCTGTTAATTCTGATGCTGTTTTTGTCCAGGAGGGGGCAGTCACCCTCTGCTTGTACCTTATGATGCTCTGAGTGTTAAAGACAAGAACCGAGTCAGAGACAAAGCTCAAGATGTTCTCAAGTTCTTCCAAATCAATGGGTACTCAGTGAGGAGGTAAGGGTGCTTTCCTGCTACTGGATACTAGAATGAGCATGATGCCTTTGAAGTGTTCATTTCATTTTGACTGACTGGATTCTCACTGCACAGGAACAAAAAGGTGTCAGATGCTGATTCCCCAGCGATTGCAAGCCGCTTCGCTTACGGCCTGCTCCAACAAGCCCTCTGTCTCACTGAGCAAGCCCAGGAGCAGCTACTAGAGCTGGGTTAGACACACACACACACAAAACACCCACCCTGGTTCTTCCACTCCACTTCTCTTCAATTACTTATTTGCACATCTGTCTTTTTATATAACTGCCCATTAACTACAAGGCCTCACTGATCTGAAAGGGGTGTTAAAATTATACTTTACTCAAATCTGAAAATTCTGTCATCATCCTCATGCCTTTCCAAACCTCATGGCCATCCAGACCAATCAGTTTTCACACAGCTCTTTTTTATATTAAATTGGATGTGGCAAGAATCTGTCAAGATTTTTTTTTTTAAATCACTATAAAGGTAGTCTCCTGAAGCAATATGTTAGCTTTATGTGTGGGGCAGACCAATATTTACTTTAAATCGGCTTTCAAATCTCACTAGCATTCATAGAGCTTTCATTGATATTCAAATATAAATGTTATGGAAAATATGTAGAAGTGAGAATCAGTGTTATTGTTAACTAATACTATTAAAAATAGTTTTTGTTAATTGAAATAAAATAAAATATTAATAACATTGTTATTTATAACAATGATAAACAATTTAATTAAAAAAATATACAATATTGCCTTGCCATCTAACTAAAATAAAATTTAGATTAAGTTTAAGTACTAAAATGACTTAAAATGAAATAAATAGAAATATAAAAAACAAAAAATAATAAAAATGACGAGCATATAACAAAATTACTAAAGTTAATATTAAACTGAAAACATACAAATAAAAGCTCATTTAAAATATTAATAAATGCTATTTTAATATATAAAATACTAAAATAACTCTTGCAAATTAGATTTGAGAGCTACTACAGAGATTTTCAGTAGATAAAACATTTGTTGGGGTGAAGTGTTCCTTAAAATGATCAGAATTTCAGTTCATTTTAGCTATATGAGCTCATTTGCAGTGGCTTGTCTAAAGCTTGTGAAATCTGCTCATTTAATTAGTGTTGTGTTGTGTGTTTTGCAGAGGTTGCTCAAGCTCGAGGGCAGATTAACAGGACTGAGAGAGTTCCTCATGAACAACAAATTAATTTCTTCATTAAGGTCAGTCATCTTTAATGCAGCTCAGACCTTTGGAACACAACTTTACACTGAAATCCATGAGAATCCATCACAGCATAGCAGCTAAGTCAAACTTATTTAAACAACCAAATCCATTAAATGGATTTTTAGGATTATTTTTTAAGACACTGCAAATGCCTATTTTGTGTATTGGCTGTGAGTATTTTTTAAGTGGTAATTAGCTTGTTCAAAGCATTTACTCGTTTTTGTTGTTGTTGTTGTTGAACCTTAGTGGTCATGGTAGATTTGTGTATTTACAGATAATAATGCCTTTTGTGTTGTTTGTCCAGATGGACATCTCTGTGGCTCATGTCACTGCTGATCTCGGAATTGATTAGATGTCATGTTTTGCTTTGTATGATAGTATGCGTCCCTGTTCTGAGACAATATGCACCCTGCAAGTTAAAAAGGTTTTCTTTCCCACATGAAGATCAATAATGGCGCTCAGCAGTTCCCTGACCTCCACAACCATCAATCTCATTAATGCGCTCTAAAAATCTTCACTTCAAATTCAAAACCTAACTACAAAAATCTGAAAATGAACATTTCTTCATACTCTTGTTTTATTCTATATTCATGTCTCTTTTTCTTTTTGTCCCAGGTTGTATTGCCACTGTTAGATCTATATTTCAAAAATCACTATCTCTACTTCCTGTCCACTACAATGTCTTCCCTTAGAGATGGCTGCCAGTCCACAAATAAGGAAAAGGAGATGGTCACCAGGTAATTTGTGACAATAGACTGCCTTGACAAATGTTTATGTGATTATGTGGGTCAGGTTTTTCTTACATTGGTCTCCATGAGTAAAATTAATAAACTTACTAAATAATGTCTTAAAGGTACATTCAGTCATGTTTTAAACCAAAAAAATTAATAGTACTTTTGTTTAAAATATGTTTAAAACTCACATGAGAGGTATACTCCAGTCATATCAGTAGCTTTATAAAAGCTGCTTTATTTTACATGGAGGGTCCCCTCATGGGGGCGGCCATGTTGAGATCACATGATCAGATGAATACTACTCAGTTTATTTTAGTAATCTCCCGTTATTTTGACACTTTAGCTCATGGAACAAATTAATCATGAGTGACTGAGTATAGAATGTTAATGTACAATGACATCAGTAACTGAATACTAAATAATTTGCTTTGGCGTGATATTGCATCTACCATTTTTGGTCTCAGTATAAGTCCAAGGCGACTGTCTAATTGGCTAACAAAACATACACAAAATATTATTTAGTGCACCTTTAATAAATATCTGAAAATGCAAAATTGTCTAGGGGGGAAAAAAAGTCAATGGAAAATGTGTGTGTGTGTGTGTGTGTGTGCATACACATATATGGCTGATTGCATGTCTATGTCTCCATGTTCACCTTTGCTTCTCTGTCATTATATATTTTCAGTTCCATCTATCTTGTTTATTTCCCAATTCATTTCCCTCATTCCTTCTCTTACACTTATCCTCTCTCTTGTTATTTTCTAGTTTATTCTGTAAACTCGGAGCTCTAGCCAGACGCAGAATCTCTCTGTTTGGTAAGCGTTTGTGTGGTGCGAATGTCTTTTTCTCATACTCCCTTTTTTTCTATATAATTTTTTTTTGTTTTTAATAAAAATCCACTTTGGAATATTTAGCTGGAAACACTTTTAATTAGAAGCAGTTTGTATTCATCTCATGCACTCTCAGTATTATCCACTGCCATTGTTCACTCACCCCTGTCTTGTATTGCTGAGGCGAATGCTTACAGTACATACCTCATTAATTTTATTAACCCTCCCTCCATGGAAAACATAAATCAGGAGCTGGTGCTTTTTACTGTCTAGATTGCATTGAGCTCAATGCCATGTTTCCTCTTAGGAAATGATGCCCTTGCTTTGGTGAGCTGCCTACAAATTCTGGCACAGTCCCTGGATGGAAGGTAGTTAATGCTACACTGTGTGTTTGGTGCACTGATATACAAGTGATTTTTTCTAACTGAAATTTACTGTAGGTCCTTCAATATAGGTGACATTTTTGTCCACTTTGGACAAAATGAGAAATTGGACATCATTTGAGGAATCAGTCAATTAATTGAGAAATTAATACATCAGTTAAACAGTAAAATATGTCATGTCTAAACTTGCAATAATAATGTAACAGTTAGTAGTTGTGGGAAGGAGGAGGCGGGAACCGGTGAACATTCAACAACTTCTAATAAAGTAAATAAACAAATACAAAAACGAAAGATGGTCCTCTCGCGGACGACTGCCGCGATAAAATATAAATAAAATATGTTGTCTAAACTTGCAATAATAGATGTAAAAAAAAGTCTGAATAGTTTTTACAATTACTTTAAATATTTATACTATATATTTAAATGTTTTATATATCTTGTATGTATTTTTAAAATACTTTTAACTATTCCAACTTAATATGCAAACACATCTATAAGTAAGCCATTCGTAGGTTGATTGACCTGAAAAAATATTTAAAAAAAAATATTTGTTGTACTAAATTTGTTTGACCTCAACTAATAGCAAAAGTTTGTATGAGGCTATCAATTTTATCAGACCAATAGTAGTTTGGGGGGAATATTCAGCGAAACCTGTTTGAAAACAATGTTTTTTTGTGTGTTTTTTTTGAAGATGAAACATTTAATTTCTTCAACAATTGTGTAAGATAAAAAGATATTTAGCTTAAATATATATATATATATATATATATATATATATATATATTTACTTTTTACAAAAGTAAAGTAAAGATATTTATAATGGAATATGTCTTTACATCACATGAATAATTCAACTATATTAAAATATAAAATAGTTATTTTAAATTGTAATAATATTACACAATATTAATGATTTAACTCCGTTTTTCATAAAAATAGCAGCCTTGAATATGTTCAATATGTTGAATACTTTATTTCAACATTGAGTTTGTATATGATAATAAAAAAAAATAAAAAAAATCAATCACCATATGATCATTCTAATTTTTCTGTGATTGTTTGTCTCTAGGATGGTAATGAAAGCCACTAGTGAATCTGTCACAGTGCCGTTGTGGTTGTTCTTTGAAGCCGCGGCAGAGGATATTGAGCTAACAGTGGAATCTGTGACCTGGGATGAGTATGGACTGAACCGAGGCCAGAGCAGGGGAGACGGTGAGGTCATAACGTACACCACCACTGCCCTGATCCCGGTGCTCACCGCTCTATTCCAGCATGATTCCCAGAGGCAGCACGGAGGGGGACTGATCGGTAAGAGAAAAGGGAAGAGGGAGGAATGGATGGATTTGGCAGCAACTAATTAGATGAATAATGAATGGATTAGTGTGTTCTATGATGAATGAACAGATGGAGGGAAAATAAATGGAGATTGTGAAAAGGCAGTGGAAAAATATTCACAAAGGGTTTTGGGTTGAGCAGATCACTTCCTTTTCTACTTACCACTGTTTTGCTAATTAGAGTGACACTTGTCATCCTGTCTGCACAGGATGCAGTGTAATATATATGGCCCCGTGTTTGACCCCTCTCATTACATTCAGTAATGTTTTGTACTATTTTCCACCATATAAAGATCTAAAGGAACTGGCTGTGTGAAAATATTCACCGTTTCGCAAGAAGTCCAACGGCATTTGGTATTCCTTCACTTTCTCTGTGACCTGAGAATTTTCCTCTTGAACATGATCTTATATTACTTCTATAAACAATCTTCTTCACAAGTGTCCTGGCAAAAGAAAATGCTGTTTGCGCTGCACTGTGGGACTGCAGCAGTCTTCGCTGCGATAAGAGCCGCTGTGCAGCACGTTTTTAGAACAGCCGCATCATGTGTTGAATCATTCATGCTCTACATTTCTGCTCTGTATGAACTGATTACCATTTCACTAGAAAGAATTTCACCCCACTTACTCCTTTTTTTGCATTTCGTCTGAATTATGAATGAAGCACACATACAGTTAGGATAAATTGTAGATTATCCAACTTTTTTATATATATTAAACTTGGAGTGCTTGGCTAAAACTAGAAGAAAAGATTTGTTTTATTTTTTCTTTCAGTGGAGGAAGTACACTCCTGTTGTTACAGGATTCTCAGCAGTCTCTACATTCTTGGCACCTGCAGTTGTACTATTATTGAGAGGTAACCCTATATCAAGTATTGTTTCACTCAAAATGGAAAATTCTGCTAATATTTGCTTTCCCTCGTTCCAAACCCATATGCTGTAATTTTCTCATTTGATCACAAAAGGAAATGTTTAAGATAATGCATCTTTTTTGTCTTTATTCATCTCTGTCATGTGTGTGATCCCAAAAAAATCCCCTCTGTCTTCAAATCCCGCTTTGCCGTCACAGGAATAAATTATATTTTAAAATATATTAAAATAAAAAACTGCTATTTTTAATTGTAATAATATTTCTCTTTTTATTGTATTTTTAATTAAATAGTTTCAGGCTTAATAAGCCTCTTTCAAAAACATTAAAACATGTTACAGACCTCAAACTTTTGAACAGTAATTTAGTAAAGTTAAAGTTTGGGGTCTGTGAGATGTTTTAATGTTTTTGAAAGAAGTCTCTTATGCTTATCAAGCCTGGAATTATTTCATTAAAAATACAGTAAAAACTGTAGTATTTTGAAATATGATTATAATTTCAAATAACTTTTCTTTGTTAATATATTTTAAAATTTAATTTATTCCTGTGATGTCAAAGCTGAATTTTCAGCATCATTACTCCAGTTTTCACTGTCACATGATCCTTCAGAAATCATTCTAATATGCTGATTTGATGGTCAAGTAACATTTCTTATTATTTTCAATGTTGAAACCGATGTGCTGCTTAATATTTTTGTGGAAACCATGGTACTTTTTTTGTGGAATATTTTGATTTAATAGAAAGTTCAAAATAATAGCATGCATTGGAAATGTAAATATTTTGTAAGATTGTAAATGTCTTTACTGTCACTTTTGACACAATTTAATGTGTCATTGGTGAATAAATGTTTTAATGAAAGAAAAAAAAACGACCAATGGCAAGCTTTTGAACAGCAGTGTTGCTATGCACTGAAATTCTTGTAGCTTTCAAATGACCTTTCAATGCATTTCTGACATGGTCACTATGAACTGAATGGAAAATAGCTGCGTAAATAATCTACTAAAAACTGTTGTGTAGGGAAAAAATAACAGTATACAGGTTTGGACAGACATAATAGTGAAGAAAATTAATTTTTGGTTGTCCTAACCCTTTAACAAATTTTCTTTAGCACATTGTGTTACTTTGAGTGTTTGGCTCTTATCATTTTATTCTGATTAAATATTATTAATGCTCTATTATTGTTCGGTTTGTCCTTTTGAAACTTGTGCGCTCCATAGTTATTAGCTCATGTCTAGGTTTGTGGTTCATCTGTCAATCAGCCTTTATCTTTGTTTTGATAGGCAGAGGTCAGTCTTTGGGGAGTGTCTGGCTGCATTATCTGCAGCCTTTCCTGTGTGTTTCTTGGAGCTGAGTGACCTTCATTCCCTCTCCGACACCATGAGTAATGAAGAGAGTGAAGGTAAAGGCAAGAAAAGTTCAATAGAACACAAAATTGTGCTCATGCTCACGCTGCCACATTCAGTTTTTCCTCATGGATGTTGGTGTGTTCTTTCTAGCCGACAGAGCCTATAGGCTCCTCCCCAATTTGCAGGAGGCTTTCTCAGAGATCGAAGAGCTCGCAGGGGCGGGGTCCGCTGCCCGCCGTGCCCTTTTAACAAGGGTTACGGAGGTGACGCTTCCTCTGGTGTGTAGCTATGTCTCTCGATGGGGGGAGGCCGGTAACCAGGCATCCCAGGAGGGCCACTGTTCCTCTGTCACACCCCAGCACGCTAATGCCCTGCTGGGTCACATCCTCTCCATCATCCACGCCCACCTAGGGACCGCAGACAGTGCTTGGATGAAACGCCTCGCAGGTGAGCTGGTCCTGCTAGAGAAGTCAATTACTAGATTACGATCATCTGAGATTTTAATGTACTGCACTTGTTTTCGTTTCTTCTAAAATAATGTCACAAGTCATCTAAACTTTGAGACCTAGTCCAAATTACATTGGAAAGTTCACACAAGTACAAATACAAACCACAAATGGAATAACAGAGCATTTCTTTTAGTGTTTGGCCAGCCTATCATCAGCAAGGCAGAACCACACCTCTTGAAGAGCCACTTTCTGCCTCTGATGGACAAGTTAAGGAAGAGGGCGGAGTCTGTGCTGTTGGAGGAGGAGCATTTGAAGACCGAGGGGCGTGGCGATGTTTCGGAGCAGGAGTTAGACATCCAGGAAAGGTTTACCGTGTTGGTCCAAGATATCTATGCTTTTTACCCTTTACTCATTCCATTTATAGACCTTCACAGGTGAGAAACAGTGCAATATGCAATTTATTATCAATTATTGAAATTTCCTCTTGGTTAGTGGTTAATCTGCTTAATGTTTGGTATTCATCAGAATGAGTTGGCTTAGAGAGGTGGACACAGATGCTGAAAAGCTTTTCTCCCTCGTAGCTGAAGTCTTCATTTTTTGGGCTAAATCTCATGTAAGCAGCTCTCAGCCATGTTTATGATATTTCATATTTCATATTTTCCTCTTAAAGGGGTCATATCATGAAACATTGAATTTTCTTTTACAGTATATAAGCAAAAGAGTTTAGGTTCAGTTTTCCTGAAAAAATGTCTTGAAAAATGCGAAAGAGGCGAAAGTGCACATTGCCCCGCGCATGACATGCAAAAGAAAAATTAGATATCATGGTGGCCACGAATTAATTTAATTTGCGGCCACGTTTTATTTATTCACTCCTTTTACTTGAAGGGCTCCCTAAAAATGTCCTGTTCTGAAATCTGCCATCAGAAGACGGCCATCGCATAAAACATGGTCACTCATGCCTTTTTGAACACTAAATTCAATTGAAATTGAATAAAAAAAAGAAATAAATTATAATTTCTTGTTTATCTTTGTTGTCCTCAAGGAAAAATAAATAAATTATAAATACCCCGTTAAAGTACTGTACACCCAAAAATTGAGCTTGTCCCCTTAATATCATCAGTCTGTAAAAATGTAAAATATAAAATGAATATAGTTTTAAAATTTTTAATTTGTTGATACTTCTGTACCTTTCATACATTTATTACTTTCTTTGTTTTCAAACCCCTTTCCCCCTATAGAATTTCAAATGGGAAGAACAGAATTTTGTTGTTCAAAATGAAATCAACAATATGACATTCCTGGTGAACAGCAGCAAAAGCAGGATGGATAAGGTCTCTTTTTATTTCACTAATACTGGATTAATTGTTGTGAACATACAGTTTTTCCCTTCATCTAACTCTGTAAATGACCATGTTACATATTTTCCTCTCTAGTTCTTCTCACCTCTGACCAAGTTTGATTTGCCCTCATTTCTTACTCGATTCTTTGAAAATAAATGTATCTTTGCCCTGTTAATCTAGAGGCACAACAGGGACTTTAATAAACATCCAATTCATTATTCAACCCAAATATGCTGTTCAATAATATTGAATAAATCTAAATTGGATGATTTTCTATTAGGGAGGGGTGTGCAACCAGGAGAGGAGCAAGGTGAAGAGGAAGGGTGATCATTACTCCACACATACCTCTCTCATTGTGGCCGCCCCAAAAAAACTCCTCTCGGTTGCCTTGAATGGGTGTTGCCATGGCGTTCAGGACCTAGTCACCCATGCCAAAAGCTGTTTCTCTCAGGTACGCCTCTTCATACTGATCAATAATGACAATGTTTACAAAATCACTCATTTCTTGTCTTGAAAATATTATGACTTTTTTTTCTTGACATCTGAAGCATTCATCTGTTTTTAGAGAGACACAGAGGATGAAGTCAGGGCATTCATTCGAAGCAACCTGCAACAGGTGAACCAGCAGGCAACCTGTGAAAGTCCTGTGACAAAATTATAATTTAAGTCTCCTCACCTCACTTGGTTTAATTTCTCTTTTTTTGCCAGGATCTGTGTGAAAACTTAGCGGATCCCCTCAGTGTTGAGAGGATCTTAAGGATCGCTTGTGTTCTTTTCCACCTGGATCAGGTTAGACTGGAAATAAATTGCTACAATTGATTGTGAATGATGATTGACTGCACAATGGCAAAGCCAGCATGTTGTGTATCACCATATCAGAATTGCTGTGGACTATTAAATGTCATTTTTGGGTGAATTATTCTTTTAAGGTTGTGCCACAAATACATTCAAACGTGAAACAGTGCAATTCAATGGGGAACTTTGACTAATTCTTGTGTTTTTGTGTGGTTCTGTTTTAGTCATTGATTTACATAAAGTTGTGTTTTCTGTAAGGTGGAGCGCCCTCAGAAGAAAAAGAGGGCAGTGTGGCATAAGATGTTGTCTAAGCAGAGGAAACGGGCTGTAGTTGCTTGTTTGAGAATGGCTCCTTTGTACAATCTCCCCAGGTATGCTGCAAAGAGATTTATGACAAGTCCATTTACTCTTCATATTGCATTATGACTTACCCAAGTAATAAAAGCTGAAAAACTGCAGAAATACTATGTTATTGAATTTACTTAGAAGGAAGATGACAAAATATCCTCTTTATCTGTTTCAATGAGCTGAAAACAATATTAATGACTTGCTTTTAATGTGAGATTTGTCTCTTTCTGCAGGCACAGAGCAGTGAACCTTTTCCTTCAGGGTTATGAGAGAGTCTGGCTGAAGGCAGAACATGATTCACCTGAGGACAGACTAATTGAGGATTTGGCTGTGAGTGTGTTTCTGATTGGCTGTGTTTCCCAGTTGAGAATGATGTTGAGTCATGTTCATGTGTACGCCAATCCAGAAGGCTAATTCACCACAGGTTCCCTTGGGAATTTTGTAATGGATTTTTAGAATTGCAGTTTTCAATGTATGAGTACAATTAATATTACTTATAGAGACTTTCACATGTTGTATTGCAACATAAATTAGACGTTGGCACACTTAAAATGAGATTGTGTGCTTTAAAAACATGTTGCTAACACATTGAAACTACCACAATGTGAGTGTATGAGCTCATTGAATCTGACAATGTTTTAATCCTTATATAGCAACAAAAAACACACTAAAAACACAGTTTTGAAGCAGTAAATACATTTGTAATTTTACAGAAGATTTTGGTTATACTTTATTTGGATGGTCCGCTTTAGACATTCTACTAACTATAAGTAACTTTGCAACAAAATGTCAGCTAACTCTCAGCAGAGGATATTAGTGGACTGTAGTTGACTGTTAGTTGACTGTTAGGTTAGGGTGAGGAGTTAAGGTTCAGGTTTAGTTTACATGTACTTGCAAAGTTACTTTTAGTCCGTAGAATGTCTGTTGGGGGAGCATGCCAATAAAGTGTTAGCAGATATTAAGCAGACAGTCTACTAATATTATACTTTGAGCTAGTTGACATGTAGGCATGTTTTTCTTTGTAGCTATACTTTTAAGAAATGGTTATGGTTAGTTTAGAGGTAGGAGTGGGGATTAGCATCTTAACATCTTTTCAATGCAATATTGTTACTATAATAGTCCAGTTTGTTTTATATATTATTTTTAATATTTAAATCACATTACATTATCTTATATTAATTATATTCATATTAATATATATATATATATATATATATATATATATATATATATATATATATATATATATATATATATATATATATATATATATATATCACTAAGCATCAAATCCGAGTTGATGGGACATATTCAGGTGTGCTTGAGACAACACCTGTTTTGCAGATTTGTGCTGTTGTGAGGGATTCTATTCAGGGGGTTGAATAATTTTGAGACTGCTTTAAAGTTGCATTTTCAATTGAATTTGGAGAAACTACTTGAAACATTTTTTGTGTTGAGCTATTTCAATTTAGCCTGGTTAAAACCAGACAATTCTCAGTTGTCACTGAGTTATGGTCTGGCAAAGCGTCATAGACAAATCATTTCCAGAGGGGCGTCACCAACGGACGTCGCGGATAGACCTAAACCCAATCAGAGCGATGAATGAGATGACGTATGCAGAGCGGCGGAGAAACATCTCCGTGTGTTGTTCTTTGCTCGGTTTTTAACAAAAAGGAAATCGCTTAAAACAGACGCGATAGCTGATTCGAACGAGTGATGTTCAACGGCGGCATCCATCTTTGTAATGCAGGCTACAAAATCTGCTTCAAAATCCCAGCGCTGTCGTCATCGCGTAAAGCCCGCCCCAACGTTTCTGATTGGTGCCTCCATTTCGACGGATTGGAAATGGGGTTGAATGAGCTCTTTGCCAGACTAACTTTCAGAGCAAATCTAAATTTGCCCGAAGTTGTCTGGGTTTTCCCAGGCTAATTTCAATTATTTTTGTTTGATTTGTTCTTTGCAAACAGCTGAAAGTGGGTAAGTTTTGCCAATAAACCTGATTTGCAATGGGGCTTGAATAATTTCGATTACAACTGTATACAGTGTATCCAGAATTAAGTATTCACAGCGCTTCACTTTTTCCACATTTTGCTATGTTACAGCCTATTTTGTTATGTTACAGCCTATTCCAAAATGGATTCAATTCATTATTTTCCTCAGAATTCTACAAACAATACCCCATAATGACAATGTGAAAGAAGTTTGTTTGAAATCTTTGCAAATTTATTAAAAATAAAAACCGAAAAAAATCACATGTACATAAGTATTCACAGCCTTTACCGTGACACTCAAAATTGAGCTCATGTGCATCCTGTTTCAAATGATCATCCTTGAGATGTAAGGCACACACCTGTGTATATAAGGTCCCACAGTTAACAGCGCATGTCAGAGTTTTCAATAGGATTTGAAGTATAATTAGTAGAATGTGAGGGAGCTATTGTAATGGGCTATAAGTAAGTATAGAAGAACAGAGTTAGGTATTTTGGAAAATGAAGTAGGTTAAGGATATATCTTTTTTTCGGGTGATGTGTGTGTGGGTATGAGTGAATGTCTAAATTTGAGTGTATTAGTGGGAAAGAGGGTAAGGAAAGTAGATTGTAAACCTATTATCTGATCCACACTCTGGAGCAGAAGGTGGCGGTAATGCACCAATAAGCTGGATGCCAACCGCCATAAAACAAGAAAGAAGTGCATGTCAGAGCACAAACCAAGCCATGAAGTCCAAGGAATTGTCTGTAGACCTCAGAGACAGGATTGTATCGAGGCACAGATCTGGGGAAGGGTACTGAAAAAATTCTGCAGCATTGAAGGTCCCAATGAGCACAGTGGCCTCCTGTATCTGTAAATGGAAGAGGTTTGGAACCACCAGAACTCTTCCTAGAGCTGGCCGCCCGGCCAAACTGAGCGATCGGGGGAGAAGTCAGGGAGGTGACCAAGAACCCGATGGTCACTCTGAGAGAGCTCTAGGGTTTCTCTGTGGAGAGAGGAGAACCTTCCAGAAGAACAACCATCTCTGCAGCACTCCACCAATCAGGCCTGTATGGTAGAGTGGCCAGACGAAAGCAACTCCTCAGTAAAAGGCACATGACAGCCCACCTGGAGTTTGCCAAAAGGCACCTGAAGGACTCTCAGACCATGCGAAACAAAATTCTCTGGTCTGATGAAACAAAGATTGAACTCTTTGGCCTGAATGACAAGCGTCATGGGGGAAACCAGGCACCGCTCATCACCTGGCCAATACCATCCTTACAGTGAAGCGTGGTGGCAGCATCACGGATAACTCTGTGAATGTCCTTGAGTGACCCAGCCAGAGCCCAGACTTGAAGCCGATTGAACATCTCTGGAGAGAGAGATCTGAAAATGGCTGTGCACCGACGCTCCCCATCCATTCTGATGGAGCTTGAGAGGTTCTGCAAAGAAGAATGGGAGAAACTGCCCAAAAATAGGTGTGCCAAGCTTGTAATATCATAATATTCTAAAAGACTTGAGGCTGTAATTGGTGCCAAAGGTGCTTCTTCAAAGTATTAAGCAAAGGCTGTGAATACTGTACATGTGGATTTTTTTAAAATAAATTTGCAAAGATTCCAAACAAACTTCTTTCTCGTTGTCATTATGGGGTATTGTTTATAGAATTTTGAGGAAAATTATTAATTTAATCACTTTTGGAATAAGGCTGTAACATAACAAAATGTGGAAAAAGTGAAGCGCTGTGAATACTTTCCGGATCAAACTAGATTCAACTCGTATTCAAGTCTTGGTGCTAGTCTGATGTGATCCTCCAGTCATCCTGTCATCGTTGTGATTTATATTGATCCATCTCAATGGCAGTCTTCCTCTGCACCTTATACCCTTGATCTTTTCAATCATAATATCCTTTTCCAGTGATCTTTCCCTTCAAACCATGTGATGACAGACTATATACAGATATATATTACCCTGAGGTTTTTTTTATTTGATCGTTATATGAATACTTTTATACCCAGCAGAAAGCAGCTTATGTAGAGATCCTAAAGGAGGGAGCAGAGCAGAGAAACATCATTGATCCACTCCATCAGCTTATCAATCTCTTCAGTCAAAGTGCCTTGACAGAGAGGAGGTTTGTATATGTGTATGTTGTATATGTGTGATAATTTTAGCATGTATCAAGGCTAACCAAAACCATTTTAAACATAACTTTGCGAAGTATTTCACCTCTGTTCGAAAACTCTGGAAGATGTTCTACATTAAAAGCAACCTGACCAACTTGTCTCATAAAAGGCACACAAGATATCCGGCTAATGCTCACAGTTGATGGCATTTAACATGTTGCTAAGTTTACAAATCAGGACAAATGTTATGCAGAACACACAAATTTTTGCATTTTTAATTAGAACTGTTTTCTATCAGTATATTTTGCTTTGTACTAAAAAGTATATATTTATAACCAATTCTGTTATTTCTCATTGCGTTCTGAGATTGCTTTATATGTGAAAGACATATCTAATTTGGTCGATTTTGGTCTTTGCATTGGCTCATGCCTGAAAACAATAAAGAGAACAAATCTTAACTCATCTGGTTAACTCTTGTCGTGTGTACAGTAAACTTGAGGATGACGACCTGTACATGTGCTATGCTGACATCATGTCCAAGGTAAGAAGCACTGGTAGGACTTTCTGAGCAAAGTTTTTCATTTTTGCCACAAAGCATGATGCATTCAAGTTGAACTGTAACTCTTTCCAGAGTTGCCAAATTGAGGAAGACCAGGATGAAGATGGCCTGAAATCATTTGAGGTAAGCATTGGAAGTAAATAGGATCTGAGTTAGTATCGATTTAATTTTAGAAGAAAGAGCTGAAATTGGAAAAGCAGAGGATGCTGACATAGTTATGTACTGTACAGTACTCAAGTTCATTAATTATGCTGTCAATGATTGACTTCAGAAATAATAGACTGAGAAACAATTGGTATGTTTTATTTCTCAGTGAATTGATCAACTAATTATTTGTCTTAGGAAAAAGAGATGGAAAAGCAGAGGCTGCTGTATCAGCAGGCCCGACTTCATGAACGCGGAGCTGCTGAGATGGTCTTACAGAACCTCAGCGCCAGCAGAGGTATCAGTCACAATGCAGCCTGTTCCTTCATCATCTTCCTGTCTAAGGCAGGGGTTTTCAAACTGTGCTCTTGGGATCCCCAGAGGGCCACAAGCGGGTCCATAGAAAAAAGGAGAAAAAAATTAGATTTTACAAAAAAGAAAAAATTCTTAGAGCTGTCAAAGTCAACATTTTTGGATTATATTATTTTTTTTAATCAGTACAGTAATTCTTACATCTATCGCTTTTCATTTTATTCTGCTTCCTAAAACTGGCCATGAGATATTTTATTCTGTTAACAACCCTATTTTTAAGGTTAGGGTTGGTGAGATGTTTGTGAAAGAAGTATCTTATGCTCACTAAGGCTGGAATTTTTTTGTAGAAAATGTATTAAGAACAGTAATATTTTAAAATATCATTAGTTTAAAATAGTTTTCTATTTTAATATATTTTATTCTTGAGATAGTAAAGTTACATTTTCTGCAGCCATTACTCCAGTTTCAGTGTCACATGTTCATTCAGAAATCATTCTAATCATCCTGTGCTGATTTGGTGCTCAAAAAACATTTCTTATCAATTTAAAAACAGTTTTTCAGGATTGATTGATGTTAAAAATAGCATTTCTTTGAAATAGAAATCTTTTGTGACAACATAAATGTATTTGCCCTCACTTCCATAAAATGTTATAAAAAGGGTTCCTATAAAATGTTATAAAAAGGGTTCCTATAAAATGTTATAAAAAGGGTTCATATTTATGGGCTCCTTGGCATCAAAAAGATTGAAAACCCCTGGTTTAAGAAACAGGTCACCATTCATATCTTGAGCCAGCTGGCTGTGACTTTTATTATTGTCAGCGCTGTTAAGTTGGATGTGATATTTGAACCAGGTGATATGGGGCCTATGGTAGCTGCCACATTAAAGCTGGGCATTGCAATCCTGAATGGAGGAAACACGTCTGTCCAGCAGGTAGGTTTGAAAAGGTCAGGCTGAAAAGGTACAGATGTTGTGACGATAACATAAAACCGCAAAGTTTTGACATTTAACACCAAAACCAACTTTTATAAAACAAATTCTTCATGTTCATTCTCTCTGTTGTTAAATTCTTTCTAGAAAATGCTGGATTACCTGCGACAGAAGAGAGATGTTGGCTTCTTTCACAGTCTGGCCGGCCTAATGCAGTCTTGCAGGTTCGGCTGCTTTTTGCTAATGCATTGTGAGACATTTCCCTGACAGAAAGCAGTTGCTCAAACCATCTAAAAGTGGAGAAGTGCTTTGTTCACTCATTCCTCTCAAGAGAGAGGAACATCCTTTTACATAACTTTTATTCCTTACAATCTGTTCCATTGCTGTGATTGGAAGTGTCTGTTGAGTCTCTGTGTTAGTTTGTATTATATTTATAAAAAGAGAATTTTGTGTTTGATGTTGGTGTTATGATTCCGCGTGTCACAGCGTGCTGGATTTGAACGCATTTGAGAGGCAGATCAAAGCGGAGGGTTTAGGAGTGGGTGCTGAGGACAATTCAGGTACATCACTGACATCCACAACAAAGTGCTTCTTTTAGGAATGTATCTGCCAGAAAAGGCAGAATTTTGTTTTTATTGACATTGATTTGCCTGTATTGCATTTTGCTTTCACCTTCTCTCTCTCTTTCTCAGGCGATAGAGTAATGGCAGATGAGCAGCTGACCTGTGATCTTTTCAGATTCCTGCAGCTTCTTTGTGAAGGCCATAATACTGGTTAGAACAAACTTTTTTTTTTTTATAGTGCAAGGTACTTTTGTACCTTCGGTAGAATAAGCCATTTTGCAGATTAATTTCCCTGAAGAGTGTAAACAATGGTCCAGCATATCACAATTTGCCTCGAGCAATGGCAGTATAAGAATTATATTACTGTTGAAAAGTTCTCAGCTAAAGTAAAAGTAAAGACATTTATAATGTTACAAAAGGTTTCTATTTAAAAATTTTCTTGTAATACTAATTGATAATACTAAGAAATGTTTCTTGAGCAAATCAGCATATTAGAATAATTTCTAAAGGATAATGTTGCTTTGCCATCACAGGTAAATACCATACATAATTTGTTTTTAATTAAAATTAGTAATTTCAAACATGTAAGAGCCTTTAAATCATATGAATTTTAAAATCGGAATGAAATAGAAGTTACTATGGTCTTTTGTTCCCTATTATGATGTGTATCTGAGTGAAACAGCTTCTTGAACAAGAAAAAATGGCGTGGGACTTGATTGGATGGTTGGATTATGTTGGCTTGACAAAGTACTGTATATCTTTCTAATATCCTTCTCCTTCTGAGACTAAATTTAAATAGTATCTCCTCCTAGAGCTTTAAATCCACAACCACCAAACTCGGGACAGACCTTCAGACTGTTCTGACTCGGGATTGAACTGATCAGACTTATGATTTTCGTTAAACAAACGATCAAAACTATGAAAAATCCCATAGACTTTAATTGAGGGTGTCAACTTTTATACAATAACTATGATAGAGTATTTAAGCTTCATCCACCAAGTATCTATCACTAGCAAAGCCTAGCAACTAGCTTAGAAGATGCTAGGAACATGCTAATTCATGCTAGGAAGAAAAAATCATGCTAACAATGTGCCAAAACATGCCTGCAATGAGCTAATTCATGTTGTTTTGTTTTTCCATCAAAAAGGAGCTGAATCCACAACAATAATAAAATCTACTGACAGCCCTAATTTGCACATATTAATCTTATACAGCATCAATGTTCTGTTCTGCTTTTGAACTAAAGGGATATGACTGAAATCTCCCCTACAGATTTCCAGAATTACCTGAGGACTCAAACTGGAAACAATACAACGGTCAACATCATCATCTCCACTGTGGATTATCTGCTTAGGGTCCAGGCAAGCCCATGACTCAACCCCAAACACTAGTTTCTTACATTTTTCATTTCACCTGTCTATAATATACATGAAGAAAGACTGAAAAATGCTTGTTTGCTGCTGCTGTTTCAGCACGGAATAAAGAAGGGCCCAAAACAGTGAGACAGAGCTTGTAGCCAGATAATGTTTCCATAAACCATTCGCCGCTGACAGGCCACCTCCATTTCATTTGCCTGATACTAAGAATGATAGATGTCCTCATATCTGCAGGAGTCCATCAGCGATTTCTACTGGTATTATTCAGGGAAGGATGTGATTGATGAGCGTGGTCAGCACAACTTCTCCAAAGCCATCAGCGTGGCCAAGCAGGTGTTCAACACGCTCACTGAATACATTCAGGTAAATCCACGCAAACAAATGGTTCAGAAGAGATGGGGCTTGTATGAAAAACTGTACATCTGCTTGGTCAAAATGCAGAGATACTGAGAAATCTTTTTAATATTCCATTTCAAATAAATGCCTCACACTATGCCCGTGTCTTCCTTCGTTCACCCCACCACCCTCAGATGTTTCAATATTGTGAAGCAACTCATTTAATTAATCTTTTATTTATCTATTTTAGGGTCCGTGTACAGGTAATCAGCAGAGTTTGGCCCACAGTCGTCTGTGGGATGCTGTTGTTGGCTTCCTCCATGTGTTCGCCCATATGCAGATGAAGCTTTCTCAGGTTAGACCATAGACAAATTACTTTAAATCTTATGTGCACATTTTTTATTGCAAAGTACACATTTACAAAACTCAAGGGAATAAACAAAAGATAAAAAATATTGTTTTATGTCTGCAGGATTCCAGCCAAATAGAGCTGCTGAAGGCTTTGATGGACTTACAAAAAGACATGGTGGTAATGCTGCTTTCCATGCTTGAAGGTAGGAGAAATGTTGAAGGTCTTCTCAATGCTTTTCCATGCACTTCCTCTTCTGCTTGTCATAAGTTTGGCATTGTTGATTATCCAATACATTTCAGTATAATAATATTAATGCACTAAGCTTGTTTTAACATTTGGTTGGATTGTTTGGCCCTTTTTTGTTATGTTGGATTTGCCATCAAATATTTAAACATTGGCTCGTATAAAAATCGTGCCTCTACCTACCTTTTTGTAAAACTTTCTTGACGAGTATTCATGTAAACACAGTCGATTATGTCTTAAGTGAACGTAAACAGTTGGGAAAGAAATCGGATTCAGAGAAATAGGATAGATGCATTAGGTCTTTTAAAGTGACAGCAGCCTAATACAGTATACCTGCTACTGTCTGTAAAACAACAAAAGATAGAGAGAAAATCACTCACTACTCTTGACTGAAAAACTTTTGCAGCTTTATTATGAATCAATGTAAATTTCACGAGTTCACACTTACATACAATTAAAGGGAATAAAGTATAATGCGTATTTGGCGTGCTGTCCGGGGGGAGGGCTCCGAGCTCGGAATTCGGCCCGAACCCAGAGTACTCCCCCCTCTATGTATGTAAAGTGGTTAAGGACTAGAAGAGTGGAGAAGGGGTGGTGGAGGGACGCTGCTAAACTGTTAGAGAAATGAGGTGAGACTGCTGAGTCTATATATACATGTTTTAATCATGATTGCTGAGTGCTCTCCACCCGTGTTAATTATCTGAACGTGCTTCTCCCGAACTTTGTTAATAAAACATAATTTCACGAGTTCACACTTACATACAATTAAAGGGAATAAAGTATAATGCGTATTTGGCGTGCTGTCCGGGGGAGGGCTCCGAGCTTGGAATTCGGCCCGAGCCCAGAGTACTCCCCCCAAAAGGCTAGAGAGCAGAGGACAGCTGCCGGACTAAAAACCCCCCAAATGAGTGCCGAGATTGGCGGGCTGGCATCTCGTGAAAGGGTCTGGGCGCTTGGCCGGGAGGGCCCGTGGTGGCGGCTCACTGCGCTTGACCTGAGAATAGGGAGCAATTGTAATTTGGAATGGCAAATTTAGGAGAGTTGTGCCTTCTTGATGGGAGCTGTTCGCGCAAATCACGGACGATAGACCGAGAGGCCCATGTAGCTTTGACAGGGGGGGCTTGCGGTCGTTGGGGCTTATCTGCCGACTGTGGAGTGGCCCTTCCGATCTAGGCTTACGGGAAAGTTTCGCTGCGTGCGCTGTTAGACAAAATGCTTGCTGGAAAAGAGGAAACGGGAAAGAGAAAAATGAGTACTCAACAGGGAGATTTTCTCACACTGCGTCGCTGGACGAAAGAGAAAACATAAGTGCTCGCTGCTAAACTGTCAGAGAAATGAGGTGAGACTGCTGAGTCTATATATACATGTTTTAATCATGATTGCTGAGTGCTCTCCACCCGTGTTAATTATCTGAACGTGCTTCTCCCGAACTTTGTTAATAAAACATCATTTAATTCATGTGACACTATACAGTGTATTAGATTTACATTTGTAATATGATCAAAAAACCAACATAAAAACAGATTCATGTTCATGTGTTTCGGATAAAACAAAATGCATTTTTACCACCACTCACAGGACATTTTATTTGTTTTCACTTTAAGTAATCACAAGTGTTGCGAAACCTGCAAAAAGCAACATAATATAATTTTGCAGAAATGTCGGTGCAAACTAATTTTTCCAATGAGTCTGGGTTGAAATCTTTACAGAGCAGCACTTGCGCTTGTTTATACCAACTGTGAAACCGTATCACCATCCACATGAACCACATGACTTTGGAAACCCACTTTTTCCTTTGTGTTTATAGGAAACGTGGTGAATGGGACCATTGGCAAACAGATGGTAGACATGTTGGTAGAATCGTCCAGCAATGTGGAGATGATCCTCAAATTCTTTGATATGTTCCTCAAACTCAAAGATCTTACATCATCTGAAGCCTTTCGCGAATACGACCCAGATGGCAGAGGACTCATTTCCAAGAAGGACTTCCACAGAGCCATGGAAGGGTTCAAACGTTACTCTAAATCGGAGACCGAATTTCTGTTATCCTGTGCAGAAACGGCGAAAAGTGATTTGCTGGATTACCCGGACTTTGTGACACGTTTTCACGAACCAGCCAAGGAGATCGGCTTCAACATGGCGGTTCTTCTGACCAATCTGTCCGAGCACATGCCCAATGATGCCCGCTTGCAGAATTTTCTGGAGTTGGCAGACAGCGTTCTTAAGTATTTCCATCCTCACCTGGGAAGGATCGAAATCCTGGGCAGTGGGAAGCGTATCGAAAGAGTCTACTTTGAGATTAGTGAGTCCAGCCGCACTCAGTGGGAAAAACCACAGGTATTAAACAATCATTTGCTAATGTGCTTTTGTAGTCTACTTATGTGTTTCTTATACAAATCTTTGTAATTGCATGTTCTCAATGATTCAGGTTAAGGAGAGCAAAGGGCAGTTCATCTTCGATGTTGTGAATAAGGGAGGAGAAAAGGAAAAGATGGAGCTGTTTGTCAACTTTTGTGAAGACACCATCTTTGAAATGCAGCTTGCTGCACAAATATCTGGTTCAGAGAGTGGAGAGGAACTGAAAGCAAAGGATGACAATGAGGAGAAAGACAAGGTAGAGACGAATGAAAACCTTGTGGAAGACTCAAGATGTTTCTCCATAAGGAACATCAGAAAACACATAAAGAGGATAACCATTAGGAATATTATCTCAGCGATCTTCTCTTTCTTTCAAAACATTCTGCTGTTTATCACTCATGCCTTTTTAGGTCTGGCTTGGTTCTGCCTTTATCTGCTTTACCACATCTTCTTGAGCGGATGGATTATTGATGTGGCTAAAGAGATGAACCTGGCCGACCTTTTAGGTGACCTTCGGGATCCTACTATGGTTGAGGCCATTGGGGCCAGAGAAGGAGCGGTCAGAGAGAATAACGTGTGCCATACACGTGCGTTTTCGTCTCGTGGTAATCTTAGAGGCATGAGTCTAGATCTGTCTGCAGTGTCCAGGGACCCCCAGCTCCTCACAGATATTTTCGGCTTGTGTCTGAAGAAGGAGGGAGGAAATTACACATTGTCGAGTGGAGACCAACATTCCAGTCTTGATGAATTTCTAAACACCTCCAAATGTCAGGTCAATAGTCTTGAGTATACCAGTGCCAACTTACTGTCAAACGTGTTGAATTTGATTGTATTTGTTCTACTCATGGAATTAGTTACTATACATTTAGTTAATTTGTAAAAAGAAAAAAACAGCCCCTAAAGTGGACGTTTTTTTTTTTTTTTTTTGTTTTGTGTGTCCACTAAATGGACATTTGTGTCCACTTTGAATAGTTTTTTACAAATATTTAGACATTCGTCTGGATATGTGTTTTCAGTAAGCAAATGTTGTGTCCACTTTGAGCATTTATGTCCAAACAGTGATCATTTGAGTCCCTTTAGGCTTTGTCTTGTTTCCATTTATGGTCATTTACTGTATGTCTGCTTTGTTAACAGGTTGAAATCTGTGAGGATTTTCATGAAGTGCAAGAGGAGGAGGACTCAGAGACTGAGAAAGCTTTGTAAGTGCTTCAGATTGGGGAAAGATAAAACTCTGAAAAAAGTTTTGACGTTTGCTTAAATATAATATATTAATTGGAGAAGACTTTTTGGATCAAAAACATGCACCGTGAGCATTTTTGAATCAGTTTGAAACACTGCCCTATAGAATTTATATAATTTGTACAATTTACTGCAATAGCAGAGTGAAAATGTCTTTTATATACTGTACACTACTTTTTAAATAATATTGGGGTCAGTAAGATTTGTTATATTTTTTTTAAAGAATTTCTATTTTAAAGCTGCAGTCCGTAGCTTTTTTTGGGTTAAAAATTATGCAAAATACATATTTGAGAAAATACATAACCAGCCAGTGTTCAAAACTATCTGCTTGCCGTAGCTCGATTCAAAGCGGTATGCTTGTAATAATGTTTTTAATTCCAGTGGTACTGGTGGATTTCCGCGGGAGATTCGAGCATGTCTTTGCGTCATTACGTCACATCTGTACACATAAAGAAGGAGTCTCGGCTAGTAGGCTCAGTGGTGGAGGAAGTACTGAATCTCAGTACTTAAGTAAAAGTACAAATAACCAGAGACATATTTACTTTAGTAAAAGTAGAAGTACCACAATGACAACCCTACTTAAGTAAAAAGTACCTGATTTTAAATGTACTTTAAGTATTAAAAGTAAAAGTACTTGCATAACAATTTGTTCTCTTAATGTCTATATTCTAATGATTAATAAAACAGTTAATTCTAACTCATTCAACCTAATACTCATATAATGATGTTCAATATGATGGAAAAGCAGTTATATTTTAAGTTTTTGTCACCATTTCTGAACACAAGCTTGCAATTAGGCAGTGTTAATTTTGTCAGCAAATTTTGATTTAGTTTTAGTCTTAGTCTTTTGACTAAAATGCCATTTAGTTTTAGTCATATTTTAGTCATCTGAATTGTTTTAGTTTTAGTCTAGTTTTAGTCGACGAAATACAATAACATTTTAGTCGACTAAATCTACAGTAGATTTAGTCGACTAAAATATAATGGGTTTAGTTCAATTGTAATGCGTTAATTTAGAATTTCTCTAAAATTTCCAAACCCATATACTCCCGGAGAAAACATCTATTAACCTATTAATATGAATGATTTTTAAGTTTGAACATGCAATACAGATACAGATTTAACTGCTGTTACTTAAAAAATATCTTAAAATGAAATAAAACCACTTTTCCTAAAGTACAACACAGTCTTCTTTACAATGAATGATATATTCATTCCTTATAACTACTTACACATCATTCTTTATTCTTTCAAGCAGACATATTTATTTGTATGAATTAAATATAATTAATCCTTATTAAAGCTATTAACAAACAGTGAATGCTTTTCTCTTTTTCTTTTGTTGCTTGATCAAAATTAAGGACACGGACCGCATTAGGTTTATTGCCACTGTCACTTTAAGACGTCGGATCATGTCCAATGACATGCGGATACAATTGCACTGATGCACATCCGACACACTCACAGTTTAAGACATAACCAGCATAGTTACATGAATACTCTCCAAAAAGGACATTTAGACATACTGTTGTGTATTTCTCCATTCAGACACGAAAGAGAGCTCAATTCAGTAGCCTACTCGCGCGCTGTAGGTGTATTGTGCATGACTGCACGCTTCGGGTTAGGTGTGTGCGCACAGAAAACCGCACCGAATAGAGCTCTTTTTTGCATCGTCACTCTTATTCAGAGATCTATATGTCTGCTCTACTCATTCTCCCAGACGTTCACATTTTTTAGCGTTTTATGACCGCGGGGTAGATCACGTTACAGTAGCCTACAAATGTGCGCATCTACCACACACGCAGGACATCAGTTCTGACGGATCGCTTCCCAAATCGTCACTATCTAACATTTTCGTCTAGTTTTTATTCGTTGACGAAAATGTCAATAGATTTTCGTCATAGTCTTTGTCATTCAAAACTAGGTTTTATTTAGTTATCGTCTCGTTTTCGTCTGTGAAAAAATGTCGTTGACGAATAATTTTCGTCGTTATTTTCGTCAACGAAATTAACACTGCAATTAGGCAATATACACATCAAGCTTACTATATACCCTTACTATATATATATATAAACACACATATTATGTTAAAACGCCGTATATGACGGCGTTTGGCTGTAAACGCGATTCATTTATGGCGTAATTCTGAACCTCTTGGCTTGCCATACTAATCCTAACCAAACGTATAATACACACGCACCCCACATCACTACTAAACCTACCAATGCGTTTCCTATGCATGTAAAAACTAATTTTCGCGTATAAATTGCACGATAAACACACTGCGTGCTATAGAGACGCATTTAGTGTGACCGGGTTGATATATCTATGGCAACCAAACTTCACTGGTGAGACAGAAACGTGCGATGAACAGACGGTCAGGATGACGTTTTGGCAGGGGATCTGATCAGAAAATTTAACGAAAATGTAACAGAACGTTGTAGAAATGTAGTGGAGTAGAAAGTATAATAATTGCTGCAAAATGTAACGAAGTAAAAGTAAAAAGTATGCACTTGATTCTACTTAAGTAAAGTACAGATACGTGAAAAATTTACTTAAGTAAAGTAACGAAGTATTTGTACTTCGTTACATTCCACCACTGAGTAGGCTATAGTGTGTGTGAGGATGTTGGAGGTGGAGATTTATAGCCTTTTCTCACAGCACTTGATATAATTAAACTTATCAGTTTGATGGCGGATCCATAAAGGTTCAAACGACAATCACCAGTGACAACAGATTCACCCGCTGTAAAATGCAAAAGACTTCGTTCGGAGTGGCGAAAACAAGGATACATATCGGAAGGACATTACATGTAGTCACGCAATGCTGACGTTGTTAACATTAACAATTTGAGAACAAAGTATAATTTGCACGGTTTTGCGTGATATGATAAGCGATTTTAGATTTAATCAGCGTGATTTACTGCAATGTCAGAACCAAAACAAAAGTGGATGTTACTTACTTGTTCAGATTACATTTTCCGGTGAAAATTATTATATTGGTCATACTTCCAAAAAGAATTATCTGTGATTCTGAATGACAGTATCCACACCGGCGCGGTGATTGACAGCTGCACACTCTCCTCAAACACTGTGTTCAAACACTGTGCGGTGTCGAAGTACAACTCACGTAAAGTTGATAATTCCGCAAATGACTGCAATTGCAGATTTCGAACAGAGATGGCGACAAAGAGGAAAAACTGCGGACTGCAGCTTTAAATAAACAGGTCTTTTGAATTTTCAATTCATCAAAGAATACTAAAAACCAATGTATCATGGTTTCCATAAAATATTAAGCAGTAAAACTGTTTTCAACATCGAAAATCATGTGACACTGAGTAATGATGCTGAAAATTCAGCTTTGCCATCACAGGAATAAATAACTTTTTAAAATATACTAAAATACAAAACAGTTATTTTAAATTCTACTAATACTATTTCAAAATACTACTGTTTTTAGTGTATTTTTGATCAAATAAATGCAGTCTTGGTAAGCATAGTAGTAAGCATTTTTTTTTTTTTTTTACTTTACACAAATCTTACAGACCCCAATCTTTTGAACGGTAGTGTTTAAACGAATTTGATATTATAAATTAAATGTAGCCAAATGAATCAAATCAAGTTTGTGAGTTTGTGAATCTGAATCAAATCTGTAAATCTGCTTATATAGGCTACTTGTCACGGGTTGCCGTGTAGTAAATTCCAAAGGATGATGCGTGACAGAGAATGAACATTATAAACAATATATTTAATAAATATAGAGCAAGAATACTACACATTCAATGTAATCTTAACACAAGATGAAGAACAGAGGAAAACTCGGGTCTTAAATACACAAGGAAAGTAATCAACAGAACAGGGAACAGGTGTGGACTAATAACAATGAATGAATGACTAGAACTCGGGAAAATGGTGACAAGAGGTGTGTTCGACTTGAAGCTGCGGAGACCGATCGGTGTATTAAACAAAGACTGAAAACTAAACAAGACAGAAACTAGACATGACAGTGACAATACTCAACCATAGTGTGTGAGTAGTTCAACTCATTATTTGATGTTTATTTATTTTTTAAACACTATGTTGCAAGATATAGTGTGTGTAAGAAAGCACATACTGTACTGTAGATGCAAATAGGTGAATATAATGCATTCTGCCTCTGCAAAAATAGGTTCTACACAACAACTTTTACACTGCTTATGCAGGCATTGAATTGCAGTTACCTGTTAATATTGCCATCACAATAATTGTGAGTGCAAAGTGAAACAAGCCTAAGATATTGCATTTCATTTTGCAGTGATGAGGATAAAAATAAAGGCGAAAAGAAGTCTAAAAGAAGAATTAGAAAGCTCAGCTCTTCAAAACCAGACAAAAGTGAAATCCAGGTATCAGCTGTTTGGATTATGATCTGCTCTCAGAAGACCAAACTGCTGGTATGTATCTTTCTCTGTCTCTGTTATTTTCCAGCTGCACAATACAAGCATACTGTACTAACAGATGTGTTTAGCCATATGGATCTGAACCCCCATATTTGATCTGATGACCTGTAGTAGCAAATGTCATTTCTCTGCAGAACTGTTTTGCAAGAAATTTCTATAACATGAGATTGTTGGCTCTGTTCCTCACTTTTGCCATCAATTTTATTCTTCTGTTCTACAAGGTGAGTATTGATTTCCCTACTAAAACATCAGCTTTAATGTTATTGGACAGGCTGTTTTTATGTTTTTAGGCCACTTGTACTGGGAAACCAGCTCAAATAACTGAATACAAGCCTACCCTGGTTTGGAGACCAGCTAGAACAGTTCAAACCAGCTTATTTCCAGACATGTTTTTGACACCTAAATTTGACCAAAAACAATTTATTATTTAGGTTTCATCGACCATTGGGGATGATGAAAATATAGAGATCGCTCTTTGTGACGACAGACCCAAGGGGTCACAGAAATTTTATTTAGAACTAGAAGAGAACAGTGGCTACATGAAAATGATTCTTCGCATCCTGGCTGTCTTGCACACACTCATCTCAGTCTGCTGTATCATCGGCTACTACTGTCTGAAGGTCTGTGCAAGTAACCCACTATATTTCTTATGGTGAAACTAAACTTATGTCTTTGATATAGTAAATAAATGTCTCTCTTTTGGCTTTTGTTAAAGCTCTCAAATGTACAGTGGGGTCCACAAGTCTGAAACCAGTATTAAAAATACTTTTATTTTTCCCCTTATTTTGCACTTGAGCTGCATGAACCTGATCATCATGTTCTCCAGCAGAATTTAAGATTATCTAAAGAGCATATTGTGCTTCAATGGAAGCAAGAACATCTGACCGTCTGTACAAAGATTTGTGACCTAGAAATCTGAATCAGAATTATTTCATATTCATTTCGGATTATAATTCTTCCTTTGTTTTTATTATTTCAAATACAAAAATGTGTTTATTCATTTCCATGTTTAAAAATCACAGATTTTTGTGTATGGTCTCAGGTGAATAAAACTACCTTTTTCATCATTTGACCCCTGACAGGTTCCTTTAGTAATTTTTAAGCGAGAGAAGGAGCTGGCTCGTAAACTGGAGTTTGACGGACTCTACATCACTGAGCAACCTTCTGAAGATGACATTAAAGGCCAGTGGGACAGAATGGTCATCAATACACCGTAAGAGTTGCATAACTGCCTCATAAAGGCTCACATTATAAGCAATGAAACAATGGCTGACCTTCTATATGAATTTCAAAATGTAACATTGATTGACTAATTATCACTACTACACAGTACAAATGTTGCACCTCTTCGGTAACCTTTTTGGTTTTCTTTGCTGTTTTTCAGATCATACCCAAGCAATTATTGGGATAAATTTGTGAAAAGGAAGGTGAGATGAACAAATGAAATATGTTTTCTAAAAGTTACTTTCCAAAACATTGAAGAACATCATAGACAGTATCTCACAGCTCTAACATTGTGATATACCTCTGGTTTCACAGACCAGGCTTAAGCCTAGTCCCAGACTAAAATGCTTGAGCTGTTTTAACTGAAAGCAACTTACACTGATATATCTTAAAATATGTCTGTGCCATTGTTTTGTCTCAAGATGCAAACCAGTAATGTTTTTTTCTGAGGCACGGTTAAAAAAAAGCTACTTAAATGTTATGTTTTTCTTTTCTTTTTTTCTGATTAACAGATTTAAAGGGTTAGTTCACCCAAAAATGAAAATTCTGTCAGTAATTACTCACCCTCACGTTGTTCCAAACTCGTAAGACTTTCGTTCATCTTCGGAACACAAATTAAGATATTTTTGATTAAATCTGAGAGCTGGATCACTCCTCCATAGGCTTCTTAAGGGATCGAAACTGACCGGCCCAAAAGTTATGAAAGACATCGTTAAAATAGTCCGAGTGACTACAGTGTCTCAACCTTAAGTTTATCAAGCGACGAGAATACTTTTTGTGCGCAAAAATAACGACTTTATTCAACTAATAATTTCCTTCTCTGTGGGCCGTGATATTTCACGTAGTGAAACTACGCAAAGCTTCTAGGTTGTACGTCACGCATCACACACATGGCCAGCGTCGGCCAATAGTGAGCCTACGTGTGACGTGCAACCTAGAAGCTTTGCGCAATATCACTACGTGAAATATCACGGCCGTACAGAGAAGGAAATGATTAGTTGAATAAAGTCGTTATTTTTGTTTGTTTTTTTTGCGCACAAAAAGTATTCTCGTCGCTTGATAAACTTAAGGTTGAGCCACTGTAGTCACTCGGACTATTTTAACGATGTCTTTCATAACTTTTGGGCCGGTCAGTTTCGATCCCTTAAGAAGCCTATGGAGGAGTGATCCAGCTCTCAGATTTAATCAAAAATATCTTAATTTGTGTTCCGAAGATGAACGAAAGTCTTACGGGGTTGGAACAACATTAGGGTGAGTAATTACTGACAGAATTTTCATTTTTGGGTGAACTAACCCTTTAAAAATTTTCTGGAAAAAACTCTAAAAAACCTAAATGTCTGAAACTGACATGTCAGTTCTAAAATGTGTTTCAAAACCATTTAAAAACATCATAGTATGAAATTATCTCAAAGCTCTAACGTGTGTGACTCATCTGTGACTAACATCTGTGACACTAATTTTAATAACAACTAGATTTTTCACTCTTTCTTTTAAACCATTTGTACCTGTGGTATTTTAAGAGATTTCTACATTTTCTGAAAGAAAAAAAATGACGTCACCTCACTGTCATGATGGTACTGGTGTTGTGGGGCCATTGCTATGCAGTTGCTAGGGTGTTCCGAGTGGTTTCTAGGTGATTACTTACCCTTCTCTATGATATTCAGGCTTAAGTCCCCCTTTCAGTGTCATTCCATGGGATGCTTTCTTTTTTATCATCTGCCATGTGGAAATCGTAAGGCCAGTGGCTTAGAAAAGCAACAGCAGACCTCTCCACAATAAGACTCATAGTTTGAGATATCATTCGTGTCTGCAGCATGAACTGTGCTGGATGAATTACGGGTTTTTTATGTTTTTGATTCATTCTGTTATTGCTTTCCGTGCCGCAGGTGATGGCGAAATATGGAGAGCTGTATGGATCAGCACGCGTCAGTGAGCTTCTAGGTTTGGATAAAGCTGCTCTGGACTTCAGCTCAGAGGCTCATGAGAGGAAGAGACCCATACAAAAGCGTCCCATCACTGCCCTGTGAGTTACATCACTCTGCTTTCATTTATTATAATAACTCACCAACCAAACCAGCTTCTGTTCAGGGAAATAGCCCAATCAGTTCATCTTCAGACTGACAATGAAAAAAAGATTTCACTTTGTGCCAGTTGATGGCAGCAGTGTTCAATGCGATAGGCTTAAAATAAGTCAAATAAATCATTCTCATGTTTTCACAGTTTCAGATTAAACACCGTTGATTTGAAATACCAGATTTGGAAGCTGGGAGTGGTTTTCACTGACAATGTAAGATTCCTGACTCTTTGAACACTCAAAGTGTTATAACAGAAGGAATTGGCAATCAGTGAGTGAAATCTAACATGAAATTGTGTTTTGCTTTCTTTCAGTCCTTCCTTTACCTGGCCTGGTATATGTTTGTGTCAGTTCTGGGTCATTATAACAATTTTTTCTTCGCTGCGCACCTGCTAGACATCGCCATGGGCTTCAAAACACTGCGCACCATACTATCATCTGTTACACATAATGGCAAACAGGTAATACGTGTGTGTGTGTGTGTGTGTGTGTGTGTGTGTGTGTGTGTGTGTGTGTGTGTGTGTGTGTGTGTGTGTGTGTGTGTGTGTGTGTGTGTGTGTGTGTGTGTGTGTGTGTGTGTGTGTGTGTGTGTGTGTGTGTGTGTGTGTGTGTGTGTGTGTGTGTGTGTGTGTGTGTGTGTGTGTGTGTGTGTGTGTGTGTGTGTGTGTGTGTGTGTGTGAGTGAGAGAGAAAGAGAGAGTGTGAGTGAGTGAATGAACAGTGGCCCCAAAATGTGTTTAGACCCTCAAGTCATAATTAAAAAAATATGAATGTCATTATAGTATGTATTATGTAACAAATAAAAAAATATACTAGACCTAACTAGCCAAGTTTTTTTTTTTTTTTATGTTTATATACTGGTTACCTATTTTAAACAACTGTTACCTATTTTAATATATTTTAAAATTTAATTTATTCCTGTTATGCCAAGGTGAATTTTCAGCTTTCAGTGTCACATGATCCTACAGAAATCATTCTAAAAAGCTGATTTGATACTCAAGAAACAGTTCTTATTTTCATCAATGTTGAAAACAGTTGTGCTGCTTTATATTTTTGTGGAAACAGTGATTATTTTTCAGGATTCCTTGTTGAATATAACCTTCAAAAGAACCGCATTTATTTGAAATATAAAATTTGTGTAGCATTATAAATGCATTTACTGTCACTTTTGATAATTTTAATGCCTCTTTGCTGATTAAAAGTATTCATTTTATTAATTGAAAGAAATCATACTGACCTCTGTGCCATCTTTCTTTAAAATCACTGCCAGGTGGTTTCTTATTTTCTTGTTGTCATCTAATGCAGTAAGATTCATGCATTTTAAGTGTGACATGGTCCACTTTTTTGGGTCACTGTATATCTGCGAAGATGAGATGAAAGGCTGTTGTCTGTTTTTTTTTCAGCTGGTTTTGACAGTGGGACTGTTGGCCGTGGTCGTGTATCTCTACACCGTGGTTGCCTTTAACTTCTTCCGCAAGTTTTACAACAAGAGCGAGGACGGTGAACCAGTGGACATGAAATGTGATGATATGCTCACAGTGAGTAGCCCCTCTGTCTATTTATCTCTTAGGTTTAGAAATAGTCATGGGTTTGATGTCAAAAACATGAGAGCATTAACATCAACTACCGTGCAAATGTTTGGAGTTGGTAAGAAATTTTTAAGTCTCTTATGCTCACCAAGACTGCATTTATTTGACAAAAAAAAAAAAACATCTCTGGTTACAAATGTAACCCAGGTTCCCTGGGAAGGGGAACGAGACACTGCGTCTGAACAAGACGCTATGGGCGAGTTCTCATTCGAAAGGGAACAGTAATATCAGTATTACTGTGAAATATTATTACAATAAAACAATGTTTTTTCTGTTTTAAAATGTAATTCATTCCTGTGATGGCAAAGCTGAATTTTCAGCATCATACTCCAGTCTTCAGTATCACATGATTCTTCAGAAATCATTTTAATATGCTGATTTGGTGCTGAAGAGTAATTTCTTATTATCAATGTTGAAAACAGTTTTTCGGTTTAATTGTTTTGTGAAAACCGTGATACATTTTATATTTTTCTCAGGAATTTTTGGTCATTTAATTAAAATCTCAATTGAATGCATCCTTGATAAATAAAAAAAGAGTTCCTATTCAGTATTCAGCAGCCTAGCAGGGGTGCTGTTACTCATTTCACATGTGAAAATGCTAGCCAATCATAGCAGAATCCGTTGACATACTACATGAAGTTCCTAAACGTAAGTTAGGGAGGAGCGAGCCCATCCAATCTTTCAATCAACAAACAGAGTATATAAGCAGTCGCTTACCTCTCCCTAGTATCAGCTGTTCCAGTATCCCTCCACCTCCCCAAACTCCACCTTCATCTTAGGTACCTTGCCCTTTAATTAACAGGTCCTACATTTAGCCACTGGGGGGTATATCAGAGCTCGAGTTGAAGCTGCTTCATCGAGCCCCTCTCCAGCGGACAGCAAGCCAAATAAGTTTAACCTAATATCTTAAAGATTTTATGGGCAAACGAACTCGTTAAATATATATATAACCTATACATTAACCTATAAAGGTTAAAACACCTTGTTAAAATCAGAGAGGTGGTGGAAAATGGTTATATAAAACAAATGTATTACTGTTTTGGTGCATGAATAAAGTAAACAAAATGAATAAATCTTTGTGTGCTTAGTGTTACATGTTCCACATGTACGTTGGCGTGCGAGCCGGAGGAGGGATTGGAGATGAAATCGAAGACCCGGCCGGTGACGAGTTTGAGTTCTATCGTGTAATCTTCGACATCACCTTCTTCTTCTTCGTCATCGTCATCCTCCTTGCCATCATTCAGGGTGAGTGATAGAGAGATTGTGAGAGTCATTTTAGTGAAAGGGCAAAAAAACAGAAAAGTGCACCAAATTTCAAAAAGGCTTCATTAAAAGATCGCACTCTCACATGCTGAGAGGGATTTATGGGAAGAGATCTGAGGACTGTGTGATGCTAGAAGTGTGTCTGATGCGTGGGGTCAAATAATACTCATGATTCAAATGTTTGGCATTTGGCAACTTAATTGTGTTTGTGACTGGTGAATTGCTCTGTTGTCATATCGTTTGAAAGGTCTTATCATTGATGCATTTGGCGAGTTGAGAGACCAGCAGGAGCAGGTTAAAGAGGACATGGAGGTGAGTTTTCATTCGACTTCAGATTCGACTATTTTATCACCACGCTACATCCTGAATCAAATATATGTTGCCTGTCGTCTTGTGTTCTAATTAACACACTGAATTAATTGATCAAAACCCAAACATTTCCTTAATTATAAATCAGAGCTACATTGCACTTGTGAGTTAATATTTTATTTCTGTTAGTAAATATGTCATTAATCTCTGCCAGATGGCCTTTGGACTACACGTTAGTTAAATGCTAATTGATCGTCTATAATTAAACAGTGAATGTGGTTTGTTTTTTACTGCAGACCAAGTGTTTTATCTGTGGCATTGGGAGCGAGTACTTTGACACGATGCCCCATGGCTTCGAGTCGCACACGCTGCAAGAACACAACCTGGCCAACTATCTGTGAGTACTAGAGAACTGAGAAAAGGGTCAGAGGTCACTTTTGCCTAATTTCCATCATATTTTTCAGTCACAATTTTAAAGGCTGTTGTGAGATCAGTATTCTGGTCGGGACAAGAGAGCATGTCATGTGACAAAAAAGTACTGTGGTGGTAACACGATGGTAAAGAAACATTATAATAATGATTGATTTACATATTCATATACCTTTGTATTTTCATGGTACTGTACATCAAGGTTTTTTAAAGAATACCATTGTATTTCCAATGCACTGTATCCAAAAAAAACTTGATAATATTGTTAATGTTAATAAAATCATAATAATCATGACCTAAAGTTAAATAAACAATGCCTACAAAGTTTAATCTGTTAAAATAGGAGTCTTGTGTCTATTTTTATTTGCTGAAAGTAGATAACATTTGTTTTGCGTTTTGTTTGCCCTTTAGGTTCTTTCTGATGTACCTCATAAATAAGGATGTTACAGAACATACTGGACAGGTACAACTTGTATTCACAAATCTTTATTGAAAAAAGATAGATGGATAGTTTCAGAGTGAAAGATGTATACTTAATAATAAAATATTATGTGAAACCACTGAAAAAGGAGTTTGGGGTCTGTGAGATTTTCCAAATAGTTTTTGAAAGAAGTCTCTTATTCTCATCAAGGCTGCATTTATTTGATCAAAATACCACTAATAATAGAAAACATTTGAATGTTTTAAAATACTCTGACTGCTACACTCTGACTTTAACACAACAGGAATCATACGTGTGGAAGATGTTCCAGGAACGCTGCTGGGAGTTCTTTCCTGTTGGAGACTGTTTCCGGAAACAGTATGAGGTTCAACTCGGCTGAAGAATTCCGGTTCAATTTCTATAGTTCAGTTGGTGAATACACTTTTGAAGTACTGTATGTCTGGGAAGTTCTTCTGATAATAAGAAACTTGTATACATTTACTCTTCTGTTTTGCATGCTTGTTTGATTCTCACTATATATTCTTTACTACATATTTATTTTTTCAGTTCACATTTATTTGTATAGCGGTTATCACAATACAAATCGTTTCAAAGCAGCTTTGCACAGAAAATGTATGTTTCTACATTGCAATTAAGAGTAATCTGTTATCAGGTTACTGTACATTTCTGCCATATGGACATTACTTTGACACAGTTCTATGATAATACAAATCATGCAGTTAGCTAACATCATTTATTCACTTAAGCAGAAACAATGATCATGTTAAACAATTATTACATGTTGTGATCATAATGATTGCAATATATGGGAAACATGTCAGTTTTGTGTGTTGATTCAAAGTTGGTATCTGAAGCCCTGGCAGGGGTTGGCGTCATCTCTTCACAGGTGTTGTGTCATCTGAAATCTTTGTAAGAGTCTGGATCCACACCGGAGCTGGTCTAATGGCCAGTTACCTCGCAATGGGCTAATTAGACTTATTTTATTAATATATCATATTGTTGACTTTAAGGCACTAAGTTGATACTGTACTTTTTGATCGTATGGAGTTTGTAAGTATGTAAAATGTCACTTTGCAATAAATGCAAGTAGTATAAACTAAAACATGGCATTTATTTTGCTTGAAAACCTACAGAACTTATTTAATGTTCACAGTAAACCATACTGGAAATATTAGAATATAACTAGATTTTTATATTATTGATATATCAAACCTGTAGTGTAACGGCCACAGTGTCCTCGCCGGAGACTACAGTTCGAATCACGCTCGGAGCGGGTTGAGTAGAACCGGTTACATTACAACAAACAGGACTATTAATGCAAGAAATTTTATTTTAGCTCTTCCAGGGTGCGTGTTGCGTGTGTGTCTGATATTAATAATTTATGGAGAATCTCACTCCCTCATTGGCACTACAAAAAAACCCAATTTTTTCTTGTTTTTTAGTAAATGTATCTAAACTTAACATTTAAACACACTTAAAGTGATATGTTTGTTACTGCAAGTTTATTTTTGTACCCCATTATAAAACAGATTTATAGTTAAAACATGAAAAAATTAATTGCCAAAGACTAATTATGACAGTATTACGAAAAAAAAATTTGCACAGTGGGATTTCTGTAGTTTGAATTTCATAACCTTCATTTACTCTTATAGTATGCCCAATGTAAACAAATCCTTGTCCATCCCTTTCTCTTATCTATCTTCTCTCTTCATCCACTCTCAACCTTCTCGCGTTTGTCTCCTTACTTTCAACAGCCACTCCATCATCTGTGATTCTCTCTCTCTCTCTCTCTCTCTCTCTCTCTCTCTCTCTCTCTCTCTCTCTCTCTCTCTCTCTCTCTCTCTCTCTCTCTCTCTCCTCGGTGTGAGAGGTAGCACTCAGATCCTGAGCGTGAAATGAAATGAAACGGCAGCCCACATCACATGCTGCCGGTCGAGTTGTCGCTGCTGCAGGGCATGACGCATTGATCTCCAGCCATTCCAGAGGTGCTGTTAAAGCTTTAACCCCCCTCTACATGAATGGCGCACAGTACCACTGCTGTCAGCCTTATTAAAAAGAAGACAAAGGACAGAACTGATTACCATTATCTCTGAAATAGGAGGAAAACCATTGATAGAAAAAGCATCAGCAGTAACGCAATGCCCAATATTATAATTTATATAATTTAAACCAAAAAATACCTTAAAGATTTAAATTATGTATTTAATTTATAGGAGTTTTTTTATGATTATGGATAAATTAACAAATTGTTGTACATTGTGTTATGGGTGGGAAAAGTGGGGGCTCGTCCGGGAAGACGTAACGGAGTACTTGTTCTTAAAGATTTTTTTATAGGTGAATGAAACGTAAGTTGCGAATAGTCTTTTATTTCCTATTGTTTATCTGAGAAAAATGGCTTCTCAAACAAGAAAAAATGTTGTCCATCAGGAATTGATTGGATGGTTGTGGTTTGCAATTGCTGTGATCTCATGTGACAGTTTGTCCCGGCCCTTAAGCCAGTAAACGCGTCATCAAAGAGATGTCGCTGCAAGAGAGAGGGGAAGTTATTTTCATTAAAGATTACGAGGGCACATGAATTAAAATAATTATGATGTGCACACTGCACAGATAAAATGTCAGTTTTGATGAATGGCTTTAATGTAATGTAATAGTGAAGAGAAGAGTAATAGTAGAGAGAAGAATGTGGGCATGTTGAGGAGAACAGACAGAGGAGCTGGACTCTGGATCCATTCTTACATTTTACTCAGCAACAGGGTACTAATGCCAGAGCCAGTGTCCACAAGAAACCACATTTTGCATATTTCCAATGAAGAAAGGGTGGTTCTGGGCCAGAAAGATTGCCTATTTGGTTAATGTCCTTCTCAGACTCTACCATTATGACCTTTGGGATAACACAACCCTTCCCAGATCATCTGAGAATTGTTGAATCCTTTAGGTACTGAATGTCGGGCTGAAAGGTCAATAGATTTTGTCTGGGATTGCAATGCTGCAGAGAACTGTAATTTATGATAAGCTTTTAACTGATCAGGCACATAATAGATGAGAACTAATCACTTTTATTATAATTTTTTATTTATTTTATCATTTAAATGTCGGCCTGTATATAATTATATATTTGAATTATTTTTTTATTTGCCAAACATACATTTTTATTAGATGTACAGTGGCCCCAAGAAGTATTTGGACAACCAAACAAACCAAGATTATTACCAAGAAAGAGCAAACAATTATTTAAATAAAACATCTGAATTCGAAAGAAAATGAGAAATGTTGCTTTGGCAATGTCACAACCACAAAGGCTTTGTAGTAGAAACTCACACAACAAAGAAATAAACATGAAATGACTTTACTAATAAACTCAATGATAACAACACCTTAAAGTGTAAACGTAATGAGAACCGACAACAAAATAAACATAACGGGATATTTATACAGAGTAAGTGAGGAACTAAATCATGAACAGCAGAAATGTATAGCAGAAACTGAACTAAACTGAACATAACCGTGACATAAGCTCCCCCTCCTGGAAGGTGTGTCCTCTCGCGTTAGCGGAAATAGTCCAACAGGAGGAAAGAGGGTGGAGGCTTCGGTCGAGGCCGTGGAGCTGGTGAAGGACAGCAGCCTGGAGGAGTTTCTAACCACAGGTGGCGTTGACAGTGGGAGGATCCAGGGTGGAATCCTGACCGAAGGGGCGGACGGAACCCAGGGACCGATTGGCGGAGGCGAACCTGAGCTGCTGACTCGCAGAACTAAGGTGGCGAAGCGGACTCGGCTGACCGGGGCGACGATGGAGTGAGTGAGGATGGAAGGGAGGAGCCCGAGGTCGTTGGAGGGAATCCCGGTAGTCCGTGGCGGAGTCTGAGCGACGACCGCCGCAGGCCGACCTGGAGACGAGTGAGCCAAGCGAAGTCTCAGGGCAGACGGGCCACAGAGACAACAAAGGAGCACAGAGCTGAAGCGAGGTCGATGGGCTGATGGGTCGAGATGGGGACTTGGGACTGGAGGCCCGACTGGATGCCGAGACCTCAACCTCACCTCATGCCGTGCTGGTAGATGTAGACAGCGGCGAAAGCAGAGGCTAGGAGCGGGACAGCTGCAGCACAGCCGACGGAGCCAAGGGACTGGGCTTGACCAGAGGAGAAGGGATCGGGACATTGGAAGGGAGCATCAGAGGATGTAGGCCTCCGGACGGGACAGGAGAATCAAAATGGCTAGACGGGACCAGGGAAGAAGGCAAGGACGCAGGGATGGGTCTTTGGGTGGGAGTAGGATCTGTGGTCCACAGATCCATCAGGTCCCAGTCCGCTTCTGGCTCTGGGGTGGACTGATCAGCCTGCCTCGTCTCTAGAGATGGAATGGTTTCTGGCTCTGGGACTCGGACGACCTTGGTGGTGGCCTCGGGCTCACAAGCGGTGAGGGAGAGGCCGCCATGTTTTGTACCCAAGTACCCCAGAAGACTCGGTTCTCGGGTCGGAGGAGAATCTGCAACGCCAGTAAGTCCCTATCATTTTCTCTTTGTATTTGTTCTTGAGGGTCGGTTCTTCTGTCACAACCGCAAAGGCTTTGTAGTAGAAACTCACATGACAACTATGAATAAACATGAACTGACTTTACTAATAAACTCAATGATAACAACAACACCTTAACACGTAAATGTAATGAGAACCGAAAACAGAATAAACATAATATTTATACATAGAGTAAATGAGGAACTAACTCATGAACACCTGAATGTGATTAACAAATGAGTTGCCATAGAAACAAAACGAGAACTAATACAGACATCGCAGAAACTGAACATAACCATGACAGGCAACTATAGACCATTTCAACGGCTATTTGTAGATGTACGGAAGTGACGTGTTTGGCCCTCAGACGTTTCCGGTTAGTTAGAGCGCACATTCGAAACAACGGCGGGAAGCGCTTTATTTACTGTCTATTTACCGCAATTGTGCGATAATTTTCTTATTCATGCGAATAAAACATGTCAAAATTAAAATTAGGAGCATGTTGTTCAGTGGTTGGATGTTCTCTCAGGCCCGGAAATAACTTGCTCTCGGTAATCAAAGCGTTTATATTTTTGAAATTTGCTGCGCCTGGATTGCAGCAGTGAAGCGAGAAGAATGGATACTAAGCAACTAGCAATATACAGTGTACACATTTCGATTCTGGTAAGTAAAATACTTATTTTTTCATTGGATTATTTGTATTTCTCTACTTTAACTGTTTTAAGTGTGATGCAGCATAATTTAAGATAGCACTGTGGGTCTGACCGTAATTGTTTACATATTATGCACCTAGCAATTTGACGCGCGTGTATTGAAAAAAGGCCAAGTTTTTATTTCCTTTTTTTCCCTAAATGTTCTGTGGGCTGTAATTAATTAAGTTAGGAGTTAACATTTGTTGTCAAGCTGTCTAGTCAGTTGACAACTGCAGAATGGTGTGTAACAGCTAACTGCAGTAGTTTACAAATGGTAAAGGTAAAAAAAAAATCATCACTTAGGCTATTAAGCTTGGCTAATGTTAATTCCAACATTTACTGATGTATTACACAATAGCATTGTTTTTTAAATATTGTGCATTAACCAGATTAAGTTAAATAAT